TCTCGTTATATTGCATTTTTGTGTAAATTCATGACGTGAAATATATTCGTTATGTGTTAGATTAGGTCTCTCGTTATATTGCATTTTTGTGTAAATTCATGACGTGAAATTTATTCGTGACGTGTTAGATTAGGACTCTCGTTATATTGCATTTTTTTGTAAATTCTTGACATGAAATTTATTCGTTACGTGTTAGATTAGGACTCTCGTTATATTGCATTTTTGTGTAAATGCATGACGTGAAATATATTCGTTACGTGTTAGATTAGGTCTCTCGTTATATTGCATTTTTTCAAATATTCCACTCCTGAAAAATCCATACGCCTAATTCTCTTCTAAATCCATATGCCTAAATATCCCCAAAAAACAACGAGTGGGTGTCCTCTCGCTTGCCATATTTTCCCTAGAAAAGCCAGATCCGCTCTTGACTGTATCCTCGCTTCTTAGCCTAAATATAAGCTACTCGCTCGCTCCCCAACATCTATTTTTGAGTTCGTCTCCGCGACAGCTTTTCCCTTCTTCCGATAAACAGGACGACTTACTTGATCCTCTCTTTCCTTTATCTTTTTTTCGTCGTCATTCGCCCCTTTCGTGTCTCGTTTCCGAACCTTTCTTGTCCGAGTCTCGCCTATTCAACGGAAAGTTTGCCGTGACAATGGAAGCCCGAATAAAAGGTCGAGGGGTTGTTTTAAGGGATGTCAGGTACATTTTCGAAAGTTCCGACGGAGCCACGAAAAAACGAAGGACGATGCAGTTTACTTTCATTTAGTTCTTTATCTTGCTGATTTCCGTATTTCACTTTGGCGTTTGTTCTCGGGATGGATTAATAATGTGGACGAGGGATCGTTGCGATGAGTTCATTTTTTATGGGATCAAGGAACATTGATTCGTTTCATTGGTCGTTTTATAAAATTCTTCAAAAATTTGAAGAATTTAAAAAATTCATAAATTTGAAGAATTTAAAGAATTCAAAAATTTGAGAAATTTTGAGAATTCATCAATTTTACAAATTTAGAGAATTCAGAAATTTGTAACTTTAAAAACTTGATCTAAAAATAATAAAACTAACAATTTCAAAGATTCAAAACGCTGACAACAAATTTGAAAAGCAGTTTAAAAGTTTTTAGAGCTAACAAAATTTACTGGGAGTCAAACCTAACCTAACCAAACAGCTCCACCTGTTTTTGGAGTTAACCGTATCTAAACCCTCGAATTGCACAGCAGGGTGAAATTAATAAATTTGTTGGAGCGATAAATAAGCTCGTTAATGCTGGTACGCATTTCCGGGATAAATTGTTCAAAGGATGCTCGTTTCGATCCGTTGGCCCGCGAGCGAGATTCCTTTATTACGGTCGAAACGTTCCACTTCTTATTTAGGAAAGAAAACGTTGCTTTCTTATTTACACTGTACTTTTACATGTTGCTAGTTTCGAGGTAGCACACGTTCTTCTAATATTATTTGAACTGGCACTCTCAGTTTTCGTGATCTCGCGAAATATATATTTATCGTGTCATATAAATTCATTTTTCTTCTGTCATTCTCTCGAACAGTATATTTTCGTTCTTTATTTTAAACTTAGGGAAGATACGTCATAAAATTATGTAACACATTATTGGAGATATTTTGAGAATTGTTTGTATGTAAAATTTTGACTCTTCGACAAAAATTATGTTACATTCATAATGTATTCGTAATATATTAAATTCGTAAAAAGAAATAGAGGTACTTTTTCAAGAATACTTTTCAAGATTGAAAAAAGTTTGACATCTGAACACAAAAAGAGGGTAAAACGATCATAAAATTCATGATAATGTTCATCTTTTTGCAGCAGACTAGACAAACGTCTGGAGATTGCATACTTGGATCCCCTATAAAACAATGAACAATCAGAGAATGATTGTTCTGACCCAATTGCGTACTATCGTTCAGTGTATGAAAGTAACGATCAGAGTAATGTAACTAGAGTAATGCATGTTCAAAGTCTCGCTTCTTAATTCTACTGTGGTTACACGAATCATACTAGCAATTCATATTTATTAATTTTTCAATTTATATATTTTAGACTTTTACATATTAAAACTTCAGCATTTTGAACTATTGAAATTCTGGGAGGTGAAAATTTTTAGATTTAAGGATATTGAAATGTATAGGGATTTTGGGACTTTGAGATTGTAGGATCTGGGAATTTTAGTTTCTGGGGAAATTGTAATCTGGGGACTTTTTCCATTTGATGATCTTTAGCTTTTGGGAATTTTAGTGTTTTAGCAATTTGGAATTATTAAATTTTTGAATTTTTTGAACTAGGGATTTTTTGATTTAAGGACATTGAAATCTAGGAATTTTCTGTTTTGTAATTTTGTGCTTTGGAGAAACTGAGTGTTTTAGCAATTTGGAATTATTAAATTTTGGAATTTTTGGATCTAGGGATTTTTCTATCTAAGGACATTGAAATCTAGGAATTTTCTGTTTTGTAATTTTGTGCTTTGGAGAAACTGAGTGTTTTAGCAATTTGGAATTATTAAATTTTGGAATTTTTGGATCTAGAGATTTTTTGATCTAAGGACATTGAAATCTAGGAATTTTCTGTTTTGTAACTTTGTGCTTTGGAGAAACTGAGTGTTTTAGCGATTTGGAATTATTAAATTTTGGAATTTTTGGAACTAGGGATTTTTTGATCTAGGAACATTGAAATCTAGGGAATTCTTACATTTCTATCTTGTGATTTTGGCTAAAGATATTGGAACCTAAGATTTTAATTTTGTAACTCTGTAACTTTGTGATTGTGTGATTCTACAATTTTCTAATTTTATGATTTCGCGATTTCTAAACCTAGAGATGTTTAAAGATTTGGCGCCAAATTTAAAAACATGTTCCAAATGCAAGCTAGCTAGTTCAAAAATACTAAAAAAAAGAAATAATTCAAAACACTAAAAAAAAGAAATAATTAGTAACATTTATCTAAATAGTACCATATTATGAAACATATAATTTTGCTTATGTAATGCAGCATGTATCCTCAGTAATAACCTTGTCTCAGACATACGATTTTTCAAACATCAAAGATGATAACATTAATCATTCACTTATGTTATTCACTTATAAAGCGACTATTTGCAGGGTTAAAGGTTTTGCGATAGACTCGTCATAACTGATGAATTGGTTCATTATATCACGCAGAAGTCAAGATTGAAACATCTCAGGTGAAACGACTGTATATGTGGACACTATCGCATAGTCGTATCGTGATATCTACTTATAACTTGTCTCGGATTCATGAGCCCTTACCGAGAATCAATTTAATAGCGTTACGGTTAATTAGCCGTCTCTCGACACAAATTCCCCATGTTCTTAATCTAATCGCGAGCACCGTTTCAATTACCCTGCACGTACACGGCATCGTATGCTTCCCTAGGGAAAAGCTGGTTCCTTATTTACGATCACGTAACGTGTTTGGAAATTTTGTAATTCATTTTAAATTGCAGTTGAACATTTCAGAGTTTAAGCATTTTGGGATTTGAGTATTTAAGGATCGTTCCAAAAAGAATCTTACAAATTTGGAAACTTGGAGATTTTCAAATTTTAGGGCAGAACAGAAGTACCAACAGATCTGCACATAGCACCTGTTCCAAGCAGATAATTTTAAATGAATGCAAATTTAATCGACTAACATTTAAGGATGATTACTTGTAATACATATGCACATGTGCACGTGGGTAAGTGTATGCCACGGTCATCGTGTAGTTAATAATTCGAGCCAATTATAGCAGAGTTAGGGCAACAGCAAAACTACCAAAGCGTACACCACCTTCGTCGGCATTGCAAGGTCGCGAGGAACGCGGCTTTGTCTGAAAGTTCACGATATTGCATGCAAATTCTATAGACCTTGGTCAAGATAATGCGATGTTACTTCCCAGTGTATAAGACCGTTCTAGAACTTATGATACAACCAGCAGGACACGAACTCTGTGTACGAATGTACACTCACAAAGTTGTTACATATCAAATACAAACATATTTATGAAGTTGTTGCATATTAAATGTAAATTTTATAGACGTAAACAGTGAATTTCTAACTGGAAGTTCAACATAATCGAATCGCGTCAAAGTATCGGCTGTATTAACTGTGCAAAGTCGTAAAAGACTAATACTAATATTGCAAAGTTATGCATTCTGAGCACTAGGACCCGGTGGTTCAGAAATTCTAGGACCTAGAAACTTTAGAACATTGAAACTTTAGGGGTTTAGAAATCCTAGCATCTGGAGAGTCTGCTACAGACACCAGATCTGGAGACTCTCTGCTCTAGGAACCCTGGAGTCTGAGAATCTTAGGTTCTAGGAATTTTGTAGCCTAAAATCCCTGTACTCCACCATCTGATGGAGTCCTGGAATGTAGGAATGTGATGACACCCTAGAATCTACATCATCTGATCTAGAAATCCTAGCTTTCATGAACCCTCAATTACAGGAATCCTACACTCTACTAGTCACAGAAACTATAAATACTAGAACCTAGGTGATCTAAGAACCCCAGATTCCTAAACCTGAAGAACCCTAAAGAGTTTGGAACCCTAGAACTTGAAAATCCTAGGACCCGAAAGCTCTACAGTATGACCTAGAAATCTTGTCACCAAAAACCCAAAGACACAGATGTCCATAGACTACCCTACTTTAAAGACTAGAAATATTAAGCTCTAACTTCCTAGATCCACATTCAAAGCCAATTATAAAGACTCGTGTGCACAAAACATAATTAGTAAAGTTGGATCATTTAACTTTAAGACACCTTATATATGCACAAAGCGTATTACAAGCACGCGAGCCAGCTTGTCGCGCCCATTCTTCTTTACGCCTTGCGGTATTCGTGTTAGCGACAAGTTAGTCGTCCGTCAATATAGATTTTTCGTTAAAATCTACCTCGAAGCACACCGCAATTTCTCCGTTCGTTACAAGAAACTAAAACAACCGCAACCTTACCGTAACAACACAAGGATGCGCTTACCTTGATACCGGCGCGTCCCTGTTGCTTCAAAAGAATATTCTCCGGCTTCATGTCGCAATGTATGATCCTGTTCTTGTAAAGGGCGACGAGGCACTGAAGCAACGAGTGGGCGAACTTCCTCACTAGCTGCATGCTGAACCCTCGGAACTTGTTCTTCTTGATCAGCTCGTACAGGTTAATACTGAGTAACTCGAAAGTGATGCACATGTGATTGCGGAACGTGAACCAATCGAACATATGAATGATATTCATCGTGTCGTCCTTATCCTGTTCCCTAAGCTTCCTCAGTATCTTCACCTCCTCCTGGGCCTGACGATGGAACCTCTTCTCGTTCCTCAGCATCTTCAGGGCTACGTGTTCCTGTTTCTTGTGATCGTACGCCTTCACCACCTGTCCGAACGCACCTTTGCCGATCACTTTCAGCACCTCGTACCTGTAGGCCACGTGGTCGTGGTTCACGTGGATGTAGGAACCGTGTTCGTTGTCGTAGTCATTGTTGTTCGGCCGGCCAAGTATGCCGGGCCTCTTCTTCGCGTTCGCACCGATGAAGTAGATCTGCGGGTAGTCGAGGATCTCCTGGTGCTCGTACGGCGTCAATCTGTTCTTGTAGATCTTCAGCACGGCATCTGGGGTCGCGGTGATAGTCTTCGGCTTGTAGGCGCCGGCGCTGCCGCAGGAACTACCGTTCGCCCTTCCGTTCTTCGCCAACGCGGTGCTCGACTGACCGTCCGGCTGCGAATGACTGGTGTTACGGATGGAATTGTGAGCTGTGACGTGACTGGAATCATGCTGACTCGAATTGTGGCTGGTATGAGAGCTCAGGCTCAGGTTCAGGCTCTCCGAGTTGCCCGTAAGGCTCAGCAGGCTGTTGTTGGCGCTGGAGCTCAAGCTCGGTAGATGAGTACCGGCCATGTGAGCAGATCGGGTCAAATAACTGGGCGACGACTCGCTGGTCGACTGCTTCAGGGCCAACGTGCTACCCTTCAACGGTGGCAGATGATTGGTCTCGCTAGACGTGATGTACGTCTGCGTCGAGATCGCGCTCGCGGGTACGAACAGGTTTGGTCTTGACAGCGACATCTCGAACGTGTTCGCCGATAGAATTAAGCTAGTCATTTGTATCCATTTGAAGCGTGTGTTTTTTGGTGGACAGGCTGATTGGTCGAGTAACGAAACAGGCAACCATCGAAATAACCTTAACGTGTCACCGATTTGTATTGTCGTTGGAACAATAAAAAAACATATTGGTTCGTTCGCGATTAACAGTACGCTAAGTCGTTTATTTCTTCTTGTTTCCTCTTTTATTGCTCTGGCTCTTCGGTACTTTTTATCGTATACGTATAAATAGGAGTAAATTTGGTCGATCCGTTTTACAATAAATTAATCGACTAAAAATCGTTAACGCGATTTGCTTTCAGTCTCATCGACGTCGACGTCGAAAATTTGATGAGCGGAAATGACGCGTCCCCCACGCGGGACGCCAACGAACCTCGAGGTTGCTAAGTCTCCTAAGATGCGTCCAGAATGTCCTCGATGACCGCTCGTTAAGTGCGCGTTTCTTTCGAAATACAATTGATCGTCTAAAAAATATTATCAAGGAAAACACGTGGTTCTCGTGGTGTAAATGCAGCGGACTAGAAATTGCAATGATCGCCGGGCGACGGTAATGAGCGTTCGCCAAAAGAGCCCCGTCTCGCTTGTCGACCCTTCGCGAGCGGCCAGAATACACGAACGAGAAAAATAAGAGGAACTATGAACCCACCGTCTGACGTCACTTCCGACTGTGCACAGCTGTCTACCCTCTCCCTCCCCCCGCCCTGTCTCGTCGCCAGTTATTCATCCGATTCGTATTAACTCCCTTCGCCGCTTGACCCTTCGCTCGTCGTCACCGACAGTCAGTGTTACCACCTTCTTTGCTGCATGGAAACGATGCGATCCCTTTTTCGCCTTCGCGCGAACTTTCGAACGTCTAATTTTATAATGTATCGAGCACGAGGGCAAACGCATCGTGCGGGAACTGTCTACTTCCTAACCGCGGAGGTTATTGGCACCAGGCCGGCCAACTTGCACGACTTCGCTCCATCGAACCTTTTTTCTCTTCCTCTTGCAGGGAGAATATTATTCTAGCCGAGTACGTTAACTGCTTTTCGTTCGAACATCAATTTCGATTTTCAATCGAACTGCGAGCTATCGATACGTCTTCGACCGAAATTTGCAAATGCATTTGTACAGTCGGCTTTTTCTTTGATATTTACATCGAACAGGATTCACCGACTTCGATTTTGAATCGAACGACTGAAAATTTCGAGTAATCGATAAGAACAGAGTCGAACCGTAATCATTTGCATGCTATACCATCGGCCCTTCGAATATTCACCGATTTGGATTTTTAATCGGACTGTCAACAATCGTAGAGGATTCGGTCGAGTTTTGTAGACACTATTTGCATCTCATTCGCTTGGTTCCTCGTTTGATATTTGTGTCAAACTGTATTCACGGATTTTGAATTAGAATCAAACTGCGAGTAATCGACATTGATTCAGTCGTACTTCGTAAACGCTATTTGCATGCTATGCACTCGCCCTTCGTTCAATATTTTTATGTCCAACGGGATTCACCGATTTCGATTTTGAATCGAACTGCAAATAATCGATAAAACTTCAGTCGAACTTCGTAAACACCATTTTGTCATACACTTGGCCCTTTGTTCGATGATTCCGTCCAACGAGATCGCCCGATTTCGATTTTGAATCGAATTGCGAGTAATCGATAAGGATTCGAACTTCGTAAACACCATACACTTGGATCGTACAAAATTTCTTAATCAATTTAACACATGATTTGTCGCGCGTAACCGTAGAAAAACTTCTCGAGTCTTTTAGGGCAGTTATTCGTCTGGTTGAACGGATTCTATTATGTGTTCACGCGTTGAGATATCCGATAGCGTCCTCGCGTAATCGTTCGCATCGTATCAGTTTAATAAACTTGTCAAACGGTCGTTGTCACCGGCATCGAAGTATCTCCGGCAATGACATATCATGTCAACCCTGCTTGAAATCGAAATCGAGCCACCCTGTAGTGGTGGATTTCTCGCACGCTCGGTCGTGGACCCCGCACGCATGAAAATCGAAGCAAACACCGCGAACACGACGAACGTGACCGCACCTTGATAACTGTTTACAGGCGAAACGTCCTGTTGGCATTAATCGTGCAAACTCGTTGTTCCCGACGTTGTACGACTAAATGGGTGGATGCTTTAAGAACGGCACATCTTTTACTTCATCAGAACAAAGACACGAAACGAAGTTCGTCGCTTCTGGCACACTGACTGGCTGGCTAGCTGGCTGGCTGACTTCTCTCTCGCTCTCTTTTTCTCTCGCTCCCTCTATCTGTCTCTCTCACGCCGCCGCCATGTTTATTCTTTTTATACCCCCGTTAAACGTTGTGTCAGGACGGTTTAGAAGAGGTGGACGACCAGGCGAACGGATGAACGGCCAGGCTAACTGATCGTCACGTGTTGTTTAACTTTTTGTTTTTGAGAACGATGCAGCATAAGAGATGTTCACGGTTAGGCGACGTAGCACAACGCTTCCGGTGATAAAGATCCCTCCATCGTGATTTCCACGACCATCGAGACGCGACTGTTCCCTTGTTTCCAGTGACTCCACGCTGTATCTATGGATTTAGTGTACAGGTGTTTTTGTTACCCCTTCCACGACATCTAGCATGTGTGCATTAACGAAGTTGTATATTTGATGCTCGAAGAGTGGAAGGGCACGCTTCTTCGTGGTGAATTTAATAACACTACTTTTTACTCAATTCCGGCACAAGTTTCCACTGAGAAATTCACACTCACCACAATGCACTCGAAGCAGGAACACCATTTGTCTATTCATAAAGAAACGCCTGCTGCGACACCCACGCATGCACTCTCACGTATACAGACAGTTGGCGCTTGCCGCACGCACAGATGTCCACACGTATTCTTGAGAGAAGCCAAGGGGAGGGCATAGACTAACACGTTAACATAGATGGTTACGCGTTTCTAACTTGTTAGTTCCTGTTTTTCCCGCGAAATGCAACTCGACGACATTATTGCGTGCATTGTTCGTACGACGAAAGATCGTACTCGTCTGAGAACGAGTTTTTGTTCCTACTGCGCAAGTCAGTTCTGATTGGTTGGAATGCACTCCATAACCAATAGCAACGCGCAAGCGCCTTTAGAATTAAGTCACGCCATAGGTATATACCTAGTGGTTTTTTACTTTTTTAATCCCTACTGTTAGATTACGTTAAATATGTATTGACATATGAACATTAAAATAAAAAAATTTGATAGTAAACTGATGTTGTTTTTATTCAAACCTGACTCCTATACCCTTCCTTTTAAAATACATGCTGTAAATGAATGGATCACGAAGAACATTGCTTTCTAAAGAGAGGCTTTGGAATTTTGAAACTCTTATTAATATTTATGATCACCGTGTATATAATCGTCAAAGGGAAGAGCGCATAAGTAATGCAATGTCGTTAACTGATAAGAGCCTACTGAAGTTAACCGCATTGCGCGTACCAAATATGATCTCTCATTGAACGAACAATTTGCTGTAAAATAAATTATTGCTATGTGATTTTTTATTCTAACAACCTTTCCTTTGATGTAAAATAAAATTATTACAATATAAAAATGTTGTAACTATTACGTTATTAACATTTATTCGATTTTTGTCTACTAAATAATCTGTGACAAAGATCGTTTTCTAAATGACAGAGAAGAAATAGTTGCAGTGTGTCGAATACAAAAATCTGCTCTCGAGCTTCAAGAGGGCAGCACATATCAATGTAAACATATGTTATCGTCGTATTGTCTTCTGAACTAACCTAAGCTTAAATCGGTCAGAGACTGGCGTTATTTTGACCTGTTCTGAACACTTTCGTAGACTCACAGCTGATATCATTGTAAGTACGTCGTAGTAACAGATAGTGGAAGCAACATGAATTTAACGCCAAAGTCGTTTAAAGAAAAACGTTCATTTGGTGAGCATAATTTTTATTGTTGTAATTATATTTTTCTTGCATTTACTATTAACCAAAAACTAAACAAAATATATACAAGGTATTCCTTGGCAATGTTCTGCTTGTTTCACAATTTAATATGCCTTTGTTTTACTAATAATACATGTTATATATTTTTATATCATTTTAAACAGAATCACATTTACTTAATACTTAGTCTATGCTCATTAATTTTATTTAATTATATAATCTGAAGAAATATAGCAAAGAACGATTTACTTATCATTTTTTGTTATTCATAAGACATATCAATTCTATTAATGTTCCTTTCAATTTAGCGCAACGAGTTGCTGATGTAGAACTAATTAAAGAACAGCATCCAAATAAGATACCTATTATCGTTGAAAGATATTATGGAGAAAAACAATTACCCGTTTTGGCTAAAGCAAAATTTTTGGTGCCAGATTATTTAACGGTAGCAGAATTTGTAAAAATAATTAGGTATATTTTTTAACACTTTGCAAATTGTTCAAGTTTTTATTTAATTTGTAAATAATTTATATCTCTTAATACTAATCAACAGACGTAGGCTACAGCTTCACCCAACACAGGCATTTTTCCTACTAGTAAATCAAAGAAGTATGGTTAGTGGTAGTATGACTATGGCACAACTTTATCAGAGAGAACAAGATGAAGATGGTTTTCTTTATGTGGTGTTTGCTAGCCAAGAAGTATTTGGGCATTAGTTACATTGACATAGTTGAAAAGTAAGTTTATATGTTTATGACATATAAGTAGTAAACATATAAATAAGAATAAGTACTTCAGAAGGTTTAAATGTAATTTTTGTTTACATTTCATCTTATACATTATGTATTATATTAAATAAATTGCTTAAGTCAAAATAGTCTTATTTATGTGCTTGCTACTGTATGTAAGATTAATTTATGTCAATGTATTAATCCATATATATTTACTTAGAGTATTTGGTTTATAGGTGAAAACAATATTTCTGGGAGTATACTATGTGCTAAATGTTTTTAAACATCTCCTAGGAAGAGTTTTAGATCTATTATTACTTAAATCTGCCTTTAACTGAATATGCAGAATTTTTGTGATCAACTCGCAGTACCTGCTGGAATAATTAACGGAACAATGAAGATTGACATTTGCGTGTAAAATCCTTATGGTGCTTTGGGCCTTCAGTATATACATCAACCATGTTTTATATAAGTTAAAGTTTAAGATTAATTTTTTATATTAATGACAGTACTTTCTTCTTATTGTTTTTAATGAATATAAAACTAAAGTAAGATTCGTTGTTAATAGGTAAGGAAATTAAGTTTATATTTTTTAGCATTATTAATCTAAATTTGCTTGCTTCCATGTTTATTTTATAAATTTTAAATATGTAAAATGGAATTCTACTGTATAAATAGCAAGTAGTGGCCAGTTACACTTGACATATTATAAAAAAAAAGTGAAACCAAACATTATTCTGTGTTTGTTTGCTATGATATATATATAAACTATGATATTATGGTAATAATATCTTTATTATATTTTATAATTTACATATTAAATAAGAAAATTGAATTTTTAATATGTATATGAAATTTTAGATAACAAAAAAATGGAGTGTTTTAAATTAATCTTAAGATGATATCCATAAATGAAAATAAGTTTTGCATCTAAGTCTATTCTTTTTAAAAAATATTGAAACATTAATGAAAGTGTTCATGCATATGTAATGTATACTGTTATGTGATAATATTATTATACTCAAATCAATTTTATTAAATATATTTGCATTGTGAAATTCGATTGAATTATAATCGTTCCTACATGGAATATATAATATGCACTTAATATTACAGTTAGTATCTTTTGCTATTTGATACTTACACTATGACAATTGATATTCTGAATTGTGTCTTAAATTCGAAAATGTAAGCGCACTTATCTTTGATCTTCGTAGAAGTAAATTAAGTAAGAAACAAAAGTACCTGGCATTATAACTAAGAACGAACATAATTATTGTATCAATGAGATAATTCTGTAAGACTTGACTCTTTGGAAGCAGAAAGATTATCAGTTTCAATTTCTTGTACGAATAAATGTTATTTACTACTGTAAATAACTGATAACAATTGATATTACGAGTCTTAAAAACATTCTAAAAATATAGCTGTGTGGAATATAATATATTTTTTCAAGCAATATTTCACTTAGTTTACATCAAATCTTTAAACGAACAGCAACTAAAACGGGACTTTCTGCAAATATTTTTAAATGTCTGTAAAAGATTTAACAGCGATACAATAATACAAATAAGATTATTAATTCGTAAATAGATATTTCGATGCTGATGAAATTGTATCAATAATATAATAGTAGTTATGATACTATGAATATTGGCAATATTAATGATATGCTTTACTGATACTTGTATAATAAATTAATGTATAACATGTATCATGTAAAAAACAATTTGCAATAAATAACTTTTTGCAATAGATTACAATTTTTCCTATAACTTATTTACCCTAAAAAATTATGAGTTTGGTAATTAAGCCTTTGATATTCAGAACTTCATAACTTCTAAATCAGGGCTTCCTAAACTTTTATGAAATGAGACTGAAGTTTGAAAGTGGAGATTTTCAATGATTTCTTAGCTTAAAAAAGACTATTTCCTCTGCTCTAAAATAAAAATTTAAATATAAACTACGGTAATATGGCAACTTCCTTTACCATCATGGCGGAACTTCCTTCGAACAGGTTCTTAAGTTTGCCGAGAACCTGGCGCGACACACAAATTCTGCAACATAGATTCAAAATGGTCGATCTGTGTGCAACCACGTATCGATGGCAGTAAATGCAATGTCGAATGAGTATAAAGGTGAGCGGTGGGGTTAGGCACGGGGGGGAAAGAGGTAAAGAAAAGGTAAAGGTTAGAAGAGGTTATGAACTCTAACCCACGGATGGTTGACGAAGTCTAGTTGTTGCTATGATCTGTCCAAATGACGTGCAGTCAAATTGTCCATCGTTACTACTGATTTAGGTAAGTTCCTACAATGGTTGCTTGTTTACCTTTGAATTCGTTACTTTTTGTGACCGTTTTGTCGATAACGATGTATGAAATCCTGTACGATAACTTGCCCATATCGTAACAATCTGTGTATGTACTACTTTGCGCAATACATTATACGAAATGTTTCTTATTATTAACATGAAATATTAATAAGTGATACACCATGTTCGCTAAACATTAACATAGTAATCATATGATATCTTCATGTTATCATACATTCTTGTAACGTTAATAATTTTTATTTTGCTTCCTTGTGTTAATTGTTCGCTTGACGTTTTGTATTTATTTATGAAAATAAGTATTCCAGATTTGTTTATTACAAAAATATTATGCATATCACGAATGCGGTGTATAAATAGTCCGAGGAAATATTAAAAAGTACGAGGTGGCATTGTTTCTTGTCCTCAGAAACAAAGCGTTGACGTCACTGTAAATTGTAGTAAAAAGTTATACTTCTATTAATTAGCAAAGCATAAATATCTGAAAAAAGAACAATGCGCAATTAGTAATACAATTTAACGTGATGGGTAGTATTACAAGATAAATCTGTGTCGATGCGGTGATCAAGTAGGTAGGAGGTAACCTTCGGACCCACGAGCGACCTTTACCTGTGAAGTCCGGTCGTATAGAAATAATTACTCTAGAGTGACTATTCTTCACTGATGCCGTTCCAAGAAATCTTTAGTTGACTTGGAATGACCATTCGAAAGGTTATAAGCCAACATAATATATTTAAATGTTGCTAACTTAAGTTACTAACGCGAAACAATCTAACAAATCGAAATGTTACATTGTTTCAATCATAAACTCATTAATAATGCATTAATATTCGCGAAGATAAAAACATTTTTATCTAAAGTAGTATTCTCGTTTGCTGAATATTATTTTATATTCCACAACAAACATTACAAATTTATTATCGTATACGTTTTAACTGGTGTGACATTGAATATAAGGAAAATTAAATTGCACATGAGTGTTCTTAAGAAAATAAGCTGTACGAAAAGTACACCGGCGAGCATCGTAGGGAAAATGGCGATGGAGGGGAAACCCCACCACTTTCTAATTTTCGATTGGTTAATTTTTAAAATAAACTTTCAAATTTAAAAAGTTATTAGGAGATTTGACAAATGTGACGAACTTGGGTGTCTAATTTGGAAATTTGCAAATTTTGAAATATAATAATTTGAAAATTTCGTATTCGATCTTGAAAACCGACAGTAGGAGGCTCTTCCCCTACGCTCGTCCTTATGCAAAGGAAGCCTACATTGCACCGGAGTGTACATAGTTAAAACGCGTAATTCCTATATGTACCTTCGGAAACAAAGATATGTAGAAGTAGCTGGTGGTCTATGTATATTTTCGCTATTAACTCGTTCGTGTTTGACCTATTCTCGATCTACGTAGCGACCTCGAGCCTCAACCGATAAGTCATCGCGGGCGTGTATTACGTGACATAACCTGTAACGCTCGTCGAGAGGCCACTATGCGGTCCTCCACGGCAAATGTTCTCGCTCAGGTAGAAAAGCAGGCAAGCGGGGCGAGAATGCACCTGGCCGGTGTGTCTTGGCGGTACACAAGAGAGTGACCTGCCAACCTGCCAGTACAGCGAACGGCCTGGCTGCGTTCACCTGCGCAAGGTTGCCTTTAAACTTCAACGTGGTGTTTTTATGGCACAACCGCTTCACCGTAGTAAAAACGATTTCATGTGCTACAAATGTGTCGTTTTCTCGTAATCTCTCGCTGTTCGTATCGTTAAAGTATTAGTTTTCTCGAGACGTGAATATATTTCCGCGCCTATTACCGCGTGGCTGGCTACGTTATATTTTCAGAACCGTGCGTGACCCGTGAGAGCGCCACCGCCGACACACGCAAATGCGGTGATACAGGTCGACCCAACAGGTAGTGTATTGTGCGTACCGTCCTCGAACTTTAATTTTAAGACACGTTGCGTGTTCCGGAGAGGAAATGCAAATTGTTTCGCGAAACGAGACTCATTTTCATGGAATAATACAAATCTAACTAACAAATTTATGAAATTCTGTCTCCTTGATATGCTCGCAATTAGATTGACCTTTTATATGCTAGTAACATTGTATTTTGAATTACTGTTCGATGGACTGTCTGTTGTGTAACAAAAAATTGTATCGAAGATATAGAAACTGAACTTATGACTGATTTCATTAATGAAAATTGTTAATTGTTTACGGTGACACGTGTCTAAACAGGTCAACGGTGCAAGTTTTAAGAAAAAACGACAGGTGTCATGTTACGGTCATGAAATTCTTCGTTGTAAAACGGAGTGACGTTGAATCCCGGGTATGACACTTCCGTGAAATTAGATACGTGTGGCATCATCGATCATATAAGTACTTTTGTATACGTATAGATGTTTATAAAGAAAGAAATACCGATTTTCGACGTAAAATCCGTAGAAACGTATTTCGATAGTAACTGCGTTTCCCGAGTTGAAAGTTTATCGCAATTAGAAAGGTCGAAAGAGAATGGTTCCGTAGTACCGATGTGTAACGAGCGCGAGATCTAAGAATGTTAACTATTTTGGAACAACGGTACAGGCACCATTTTCTCGTGTTACCGCACTGACAGTGGTGACGAAGTCTGATCACGAGTGTATGGAAATGGACCATTCGCTCTATGACAGCCAGTGTAGCATGGCTGTGGTATCGGCATGCGCCTAACCACGTAGCAACCTACGAACCGAACAACTCGGGACCATCTCTTTCACTTCTTAAAATGGTAGGGGGAAAGGGTTGCGGCAGGTAGGGGCGGACGGCAAATGCTCCAGTTTTCATTTTTTTTACCGTCCCGATGTGCTTAGGCTTTTAAACGATACATTCTGTTTGCCTAGATGAAATCGGTTTGTACGATCACGATTTACCTGATCATACTCGGCGTAATATCTATACAGGGCCGGCGCGGACATTTATGGGGCCAGGTGCGGGGTCAAATAAATTAATTATAAATTTTATAACTATGCTTACGAATGTTATGTACAATTCATGAGGTTCAACACATGACATAGTCACGTGTGATATAGCCACATGTATCACTTCGTACATCACCACGTGTTATATTGCCATATCAAATTTACAGTTAATTTAAAGAATTTTCCACTGCTATTATATGCAATATAAAGAGAGTTTAACGCACCTGTACTAATATAATACTATGAACAAAATTTATAATTAATTTTTATAAATTAAGTCCACGTTTTTGAACCCACACGCGCCGGCCCTGTGTTATGCAATGAGTAAAAAACAATGTATAAAAATCTTTTTTATTTTTTATTTCCTATCACTTTTTTAATACATCATTAAAAAATGAAAGCTTGTTTTTTTTTTCTTTTTATTTACTCCAGTCATTACAGTGAAGGTGTTAACCCTTCATTATTCCGACGTTTCGGACATTGATGGAGGTCCTCATCAAGGATAGCAATCTAATAATTATCTCATTTGAGAGAGATCTATGAATGATAATTAAAAATATATTTCAGCAACATGCAATTTTATTAACGAGTTCTTTAAAACGATGAAATTTGATCGTTACTTTTGACTTCCGCATTTTATTTCATTAAACAACAAGTGAATACTGATTGTTTAGAAAACACGTAGTATAGCTGCCGTGACATCATTGCAGAAATATCTTTCGAGTTACATGAATCTTATTGGCATGAGTCAAGATTTTTATGTAATTATTTTATTCGTTATGATTGCAGAAAGAAATGGACAGGGATCATAGGGAACGCGATCACGATAATTTAAATGAAAACGAGGAGGAACGAAAAGTAGGAATGGATTTTCGTAATTTGTCCCGACACCATGGCGTGGATCACGTAGCTGATGTTGAAAACGAGGTGCTTATTATTTATTTTCAAAAATGAAAAAAAATATTCCAGTTAAAAAATTATTAATGAAAAATTTGGACTTTGAATTGCAGCGGGATATGGACGTTGATCAAAACGATCGCGTTGAAAATTTACACGACGATAAGATAGATCAAAATATTGGAAGGAATTTTCATAATTTAGCACATCATCCCGCTATGGTTGGTTTTCAATACATCATTTATATAAAAATTAAGATTAAGTCAATCAATTAACCATGTAATTCGATATTTAGAGAGACATGGACAGGGATCAAAATAATCACGTTGATAACGTGCACGATGATAAGGTGGATCACAAAATGGGAAGAGATTTTCGTAATTTGGGACCTCATGCAGGAATGGTTCACTTACACTCTGGAATTGAGCATTTAAGTAACGTTGATGTAGAGGTAAAATTTGCATTTTAATTTTTCTAATTTGCATGTTATATTTCAATGTACTTACATATCTTACTTTTCAGGTAAAATTAGCGAGAGATGTTCGTGGTTCCTTGGGTTTGGGATTATCACTAGAATTATGTGTGGTATGTGGTGATAGAGCTAGTGGAAGACACTATGGAGCAATTAGTTGTGAAGGTTGCAAGGGTTTTTTCAAACGTAGTATTCGGAAACAGTTGGGTTATCAATGCAGAGGAAGTAAAAGTTGTGAAGTTACCAAACATCACAGAAATCGGTGTCAGTATTGTAGACTTCAGAAGTGTCTAGCAATGGGAATGAGAAGTGATTGTAAGTTTGATCAAGATAGTACCTGGCACTAAAATGCTTTGCATTTAATAGTTATAACGAATTAACTTTTAAAATGTGAAAGTTCATAATGACATTGTAACATTAATATCAGGCTTTATCGTTATAGCTGTTCAGCATGAAAGGAAACCAGTATTAGGTGAATCAGCAGGAACAAAAGTAGGAAATCGAAGTCCCAGGGTTAAGCCAGAACCGCAGCAACCAGTATCTGAAACACCCCCAACTTGGGAACAACCTGAAAGTCCGAGTATGGAAGACCAAAGTAGCGATAGTGACCTCAGCGATGCATTAACGTTAGCACGAGAGCGTTTACTTATCTCACATGCACTGGATAGCATGGCCAAACTTATTGGAGATGTACGTCTAATTTATTTTATGCGATTCTATTTGATAAAATACAATATTTCACGCATTATTTTATGTACAGAGTGTTAACGGTTCAAGTGAACCAGAAGAAGAGTGGACTGGTCAATTAATTTCTGAAAGACACACGATATTTGAGTTAAGAGCTCCTAGCCCAGCACCCGCGTACTTATCAATACACTACATTTGTGAGAGTGCTGCTAGATTACTTTTCCTGTCAGTTCATTGGGCAAGGGGAATTCCTGCATTTCAAGCGTTACCGTAAGTAACTGAACAATATAAATATTAAACTGAGGATATTTATAGAGACTTAAGCAATTTACAAATATTCGTACCGATATAACGCACACATACATGCTTATGTATAGATTATGAACTTAAAGATTGAATAAAATTATTTATATTTACAGATCCGAGGTTCAAACAACTCTTGTGCGTAGTTCTTGGGGACAACTCTTTACCTTAGGACTTGCGCAGTGCGCATACACTCTGTCGCTTCCAAGTATACTAACATCGATAATAAATCATTTACAAGCTAGTATTGCACAAGAAAAAATTACCGCTAGTAAAGTAAAGTCAGTCACAGAACATATATGTAGACTGCAAGACTGTGTTAGTTCGCTTCATAAATTGCAAGTGGATTCCGTTGAATATGCGTACCTTAAAGCATTAACGCTCTTTAGCGCTGGTAAGCGAAAAATCATATATCTTCCCGGTAATTATTTGCTTCGAAACTAATACTATTTGTCTTATAGATAACGTTTTGGCTGGTGTTTGGCGCAAGAAAGTCGAAGTCTTGCAAGAAGCTGCATGGTCGGAGTTACAACAACGCGTGGGATCCGACAGATTACCTCGTCTTCTTTTAAGGCTTGCTCCACTTCGTTCAATTAATCCCCGAGTCTTGGAGGATCTGTTTTTCGCAGGTCTTATCGGGAGAGTAAGCGTAGCTAGTGTTGTGCCTTATATTCTTACTATGCAAGATTATAAAACTGAACCTGAAAGTCATATGGGGTGACAATTACTATCCGTGCAATGTAAGTCGTGACCTATTAAAGTGATATACATGTATGTATATATACATTATATATACATACATTAGCGTTGATTGCCTTGGATATTTTTATACGATGCGAAAAGAAAAGAGAAAATGTAACGAGGCAAAGTTAATTTTTATTTTTCGTAAAAATCTTATATGCCTCTTTCTAAAGGTGTTGACACTCAGGGTAGATGTATTTTAACTTGTTAATCAGATGTAATATCTAGTTTACAATATTTTGATGTTTGACATTCTTTTATTTATTACAAATTCATTACCTACTGTACAAAACTTTCCACTACGTATCATATCAATGAAGAATATTAACAGTGACATTTATTTGTTTCTAAAAACAAAGTACAAAATAATTGTTAAAATAACATTTAGTTTAAAGATCAGAAAAAATATATTACAAATATAAATTTATAATTTTGTAATGGAAATCTATATTTGGAAAGTTTTGTACTTACATGCAACGTAAAAGAAACGTTATACGTTAAACGCAGGGCAATGTTACTATACTTATAAGTAGAACGAATGTAGCCCTTGGTGGAATTAGTAACATAGATTTTTCAATCTAAAATTTTTATTCCGAACAAACATAATTACATTTTCGCTATTTTTTCTGACAGTATATTCAGTTATTAGATAAAGAGAAAAGGGAAAAGTCAAGTCAACTATATATTGAAGTCTTTAATGAAAATCAAAATGTTATTATTATTTTTTTATAGTCGCTGCTTTTTTCCGTCCGTCAGAAAAGAAAATTATTACTTAGTTTTGATAGAAATCAAAACTGAAGTATACGTTTAAAGAAAATATAAATGATTTAATGTAAAAATATATTAACCTTACATAAGTATTAGTACAAACAAATCGCGATTTTGTTGTAATTGAAACTATTTCTTAATAATTTCGTAACATTACTACAAATGTGTACATGTTTCTCTTATTTTTCCTAGAAATGTATCGGGACAAATGATATATTTCTAGGCTGTGCTTTATTGTAGATAAAATAAAATATGAAGAAAAGAAATCGTATTTAATGTTTATCGCGAAAGAATGTGCAATAGTATAATTCATGCAACATTCAAAGGCAGAAACAAACCATTATACATAATTTATTTTTAACAAGAGACAAATTAATGGATTAACTATATCATAAATGTATTATTAAGTATTATTTACTTCTTCAAAAAAAACGACAATAATAGTATATTTTTTATGAAATGCAGAAATACTTATCAGATTAAAAAAGTTAAAAAATAAATGTATATGCGTTTACTTAATGAAATGTACATTTTATATCTTACTGCTAATTGTAACTATATTAATCTAATATCGATATAATTATAAGTACATATATTATTTGTATCTGTTTGATGATGATGAGAGAGGAAAATAACGTTAGTATTTTTAGGTAAAGATAATAATCTTGTGTATTTAGTGTCATTAATAATGTTTAGAGCATTGATATTTTTTGTCAAAATATACCGAAAGAAATCGTTAAATATTTTTAAAGTCATCACAGTTGTTAATGTTCATCAAAGCAATTTTGCTAGTTACGAGATTTTCACAAGCATTTTCATGATCGATGAGCGTGTAGAATATCCTGAACAGTGTTTAATATATACATATTTAAAAATAAGTATCCTTTCTAATTTGTTAATCCAAAGATTAAACAACAATACATTTTTTTTTACAGATATTCGTGTACATTATACTTACTGATTAGAATTTGATACAATTTTTAGCAAATACTAATAGTATGTAATATTTTATTTTAATTAAAGATAATTCCAGTTCTATTGTTCACAAAATGGCATAGTGGTGCATCAAATTAATAATATTAATATTAAAATACAATTTAGTTCTGTATTATTATAAGTGATACTCACTTTAATACATAGAATTGTTATTTGTACTTTACAAAGAAAGTTGTTATCCACTGCATCACATGTTATGTATGATGTTCCAATCACAGACTATAAATGAAAATTATCTTTTAAAATTTATATATTCCATGTGATACAACTTTTATGTATAAAATACTTAATGGACAATACAATTAAAAATTATATTCGACTTAAAATGAAAACTATACGTGTAAATATAAAACGTGCCTGTATGAAAGATATTTATATTAAATATAATAATTTTGTAATTGTATAAGTCAAAACATGAAAGAGACCTGAAGATAGTTGCCCCTTCAGTTTTATTATTATCAAAGAATATGTACATACATGTTTAATTGTGGTATAACATATAATTGAACAAAATAAATAAATAATTAGCTTATAAAACAGTCTATATTTTATTTTATTTTAAGTATTGCTTTTAAATATAAGTAATTAGAATTTTTATTTATAATGAAAGAAATTCGTCATCTTCGAATTTAGAGATTTATAAATTTTTAATTCGGAGAAGTCAGATGCCTTCAGTTTCTATCGAATCGTTACGTCAGTATAAACAATGAAGTTATTGTGTAAAGAAGTAACGCGTGTGGTACAATGTCTAAAGAACCCGAAAAGTTCTACCCTAGAGTCGTCCCTGTGGAGTGAGTCACATCCTAAGATTGCTTGTAGAGGCGCTTTGCCGCCATAGCCGCTTTATCCGCTGGTGTTTGTGAATCGGTTTTTCGTACGAAAGTTGGAGTCGCTGAGTGGACTTGGGTTCAGTAGCGATCGGTCGAATGAACGGAAAGTATGGTTGTGGAAAAGCTCGCGTTTGGTTAAATGTTTTATTATCACGTTTCTCGCAACGAATCATTCAGTTTCCAACGTCGTTATCAAAGATTTTAATACTTGCGTAAAACCGGCTACTCCACGACAGGTAGACAGGTATTCCAATCCGTTCGACCGTTTGGAACGTGGGTGACACACCTCCAAAGAATTTTTGTTCCTTCCTCTTTTTACGAAAAATATAATAAAAATATAAATTACATTGCAAATACCCGTGAACGCTTTTTCGGACGTTGTTTACGCGTAAAAATTGTGAATCAGTGTCAATGACATACTGTAACAAATATAATTCTTAAAAAATCATCGAGTGTTTTCGTAACAGAGTGAAAAATAAAATGTTATAACAGTGGTGCTCTTTCTTTGAATCGTGTTCTTTTGTGGCGGGAAGTGGTTTCGAAGGAGTAAACGTCATCAGGTATGCCTAAACCGTTGCAAAAATTTCACGTGTACACTGGCGAGAACGGTAGGCTTCCTCGGCAAAAATGGCGATGTAGGGGAAGAAGGCCCCACCACATGTGACGATACAACGCAAAGCGATACAACGTGAAACGATGTATAGCATGTGACAATAATCGACACGTGACGATATATGACGCAGCGCGATATTTACAGCGATATAACGCGTAGCAACTTTCTAAACAACTCTCGCAATAATTCGCCAGTAGCGAGTAGTGGGGACCTCTTCCCCTACATTGCCATTTTTATGGAAAGCCACGAATACCGCCTACTGTACATTATGCTAAAAAATTAATTTTATTGGTTCATTCATTATTTCAGTGTGGCATTTTTTTAACGCATTATCTTGTTTGTATACCTCATATGCTGCAACCGCTATTTTAAGTGAATCGTCCAAGTATTATGTCAATCGTGCATAGAATATAGTATAGCGAATTTGGCGGTGAATATGAGTTTATGCAAATAGATCTTCGACGAGTCACTTTGTGTCATGTTCCCTTCATTGTGTTTATCCTGGCAATTTCACGAATTTTTGCTGTGTTACTTGCGTAACAAAAACACGAATCATCTCATTAGAACTATTGAGCAACAACTCGCCATCCACGTGTATCCTTACACAAAATTGCTTCTTACTAAATGGCTTTTTTTGCACGCTTCTTGTCATCGACAATCACTCTTCCATTGTAAAAAGATGAGTTTCATTAGTTTTTATCTTCAGTTTTCAGCTGGCCTCCCTTCCTTCCGTGATTATCTTGAGTTACGATCAAACAAAATTCTTATTTTATTCGACGACGCAGAGCTCACGGTTTATCTATAACAACCCCGCTACTGGCTGCGTTCTCTTGACTCTGAGAATTCTTTGGAGTTTCGGCTTTCCTGGAAGGCGATGCTTTTAATCCTCGTTCGACGATTCCATTAAAACTTTTGAAACTTAACAACCTACACAAATGCCGAAATCGGCAGCCAAGTGGACATTTTGGAGGTCTCTGTCATATTATATTTTATTTTCTCGTTTTTTATACACTTCATCGTTCGTTGTATACTTTTTTATCATTGCAGTCGCTGCAATTGCACGTTGTCACTTAATCGCGTATCGATTGTAACACATCCTTGAAATATTTACCCTGAATTGTAACGATTGAGTTTGAATGCTGTTTTATGATGTTTTTTTCTATTCATCAGTCATTTCCATTGTTTTTTTTATCTCGTTCGCCTATAGCGTGAAGGCTGCACATAGTCGACGCGTTCGATTAGAAGGTTGTACTGATAATTTTTAAATACGCCAATCGCGAGCGTGTACTACGGCAGTGATGGGCAGATAAAGTGGGCAAACTTATTAATTTTATAAATCTGAAAATTGCAGGGCTATTGTACTCATCGAGCGCAGTTGCCCATCGCTGTACTTTAGGTTCATTGCAATCGATTAAAACTGGTTGTGTAAGACGTAAACACGTAACGAATTACCAATATTCACGTGTACGTTTCATAATTATTTTATCGAGTCCGATTAAATTTTTCTCGTAAATTAATTACAGCAACCAGCTAATTAAATATAATTATTATATGAAATAAAAACATACATTACATGTATGTAGCTTTAATCTACGTCAATGTTTTACTAATTTCATATTTATGTCAATTCATATTTTAACATTAATGCGGTCATTTTTGCATTATTAGAGACGTATGAAAGTTGTATGTACGAGCATTACTAATTCAATCGTAGATTGAGGAATAGGTCGATTTCTGTTCAGTGTTGTGCAAAAATTATTTAAAATAACAAATGAATTATTTTTTAGTTATTAATAAATATTTTCTTATTGAAATGATTTACATAATAATAATGGATAATGCTTTTTCACATAAATAATTCCAATTACAAGTGAATAATTATTATTATTTATTCGTTGTCCTCATTCAAATATTGTTCTATTTGCACGATGCCCAACACTGGTATCATTGGTAATTCTCGAGATAAAGCGCTGCTCCTTACAAGTGATAATGTACACTTTCGTTCACCAATGATTTTTTACCTATACTGATGTCACTTGTGTAGCGTACTCAGAAGTGTCAGCACGAAGTATACTATCATTCTAAAGTTTTCCTTATCGCCTAGGCAGTCGTGTTTGAGTCACTTGTACTTTTCCGGTTTTCACATGAAGTGTTTTAATTTATTTAGACTTTTATTTATATTGTGGGTGTATACTGTTCTCCCGAAAAGGTGAATGCCTTAAAAAAGTGACTAATCATCAATTAACTATTTTAGAAAGTGCAAGAGGCCCGTTGGCGAAGAAAACGAAGACAGTAAGAAAGGAAAACGGAAACGAACTGCGGATACAGAGATCGAACCGCCAACGAAAGAGAAGGAAGTTTCGGTCGTGGAAACGAAACGAAAAACCATGGAACATCCGCTTACGAGATGCGACACTCGTGTACCGAAAGCTACACCGATCACGGACGATTATGAAATCAGTAATCACGTATTAGGACTTGGGATAAACGGCAAAGTTGTTCAGTGTTATGACAAAAATACAAGGGAAAAGTATGCGCTTAAGGTGAGGTAATCATGAGTTTCTATCTTTTCTTTGTGATTGCTGATTGGTGATGTTTTAACTTCCTAGTGAGAGTGAGAGCGGTAAATTGACTGTTTCAAACTACGGAAGTAATCAGTCCTTCCATTTCCCTTTTTTAATGGAAAACAACAGTGCTGCTAAAACGTAGTGAATGTACTTCGAGTTCAAAGATAATCTTAAAGTCAAAATTATTTTTGACGCTAAAATAAGTGGAAAATTTGTGATTAATTTTTTATTAGCAATTGTTAAAAGTTGATTAGATTTTTTATATGCAACACAATGTAGAACCTTAATTTCGACTTCCTCTTTATGAGTCGATATTATATTGGACTTAATTGCAATTTCACGCACGAATAGTAATCGTGTACGAACATGTGATTGCAAAACGAATGAGTACGAGGATTGTTCGACAGGTGTAGATAGCAACGTCAGATAGTTTTATATTACCATGCAAATGTATTATGCGCGTTCGACGAATGTAATAACGTACATTTGGATGCAACGTAGACGTTATTCAAAATAACTACAGTATAGGACGAGGAACCTTTCATCACTCGTCTTCCATCTTGCAAAACAAAATACGGAAACTTAAAAATTTTCAAATCCCCAAATTTCAAAATTTTTAAACGTGCAAATTCACTAGAAAAAAACTAATAAATAACGGGACATTTCTTAGTGGAAAAGGAACAGTGTTTGTCAGTGTACTTCACAAAGGTTTAAAACATTCTTATCATAAAGTACATTCAAGTGTAACACGATACATCTATCCTTGGCTATTTATGGAACAGTAGAACAATGTTCCAAGGATGAATTCCCAATATCTTATGTTAAATGTGCATACTAACACGTAATTAGAGGATCATCGATCCACGATGTATCAATACCTACTTCGCTTGGTGAAGTATGATCATCGACTAACGATGTCCGAGCGAGTCCAGACTGCGAGTCATCCTCTATTTATACTCGGTGATTTCCCATTCGACAATTCTGACCATGTGGTGTATCATTCGACTTGCTTTTCATTTTCTCTGTGTATCACCTTGAAAAAATTCAGGGATCCTCGTACTTCTGTTTTCTTTCCGTATATAATTTATTGACTTCACACTGACATTCTCCTTGGCGAGAAATATATCATTTTCCTCCAACACGGGGCGAACGGGTTATTTGCCTCTGAGAGATACTTTGTAAGAATTAAATATCAAAACTCTTTTTTGATTTTAGAAATATAGTTTGTCACCTCTTTCGTTTTCACTCAAACGGGTATGAAAACAACAATGGCGTCATTGACTTTACGGGGTCCCAAAGTAATCATAAAGTGAAGTCATACGGCCCTGGATGGTACTGAAGCAGCGAAAAAAATTGTGGAATGTACAAGAAATTTTTGTTAATAGAATTTTATGAACAATTCGATCGAGTATTGCAAAAAAATTAACATAGATACACGGAATGTCAATGACCGATTACGGAAATCATGCGGTAAACATGTGCTTGCTATTTTAAAAATAATCTTTTTGTAGTATAATTAATTTTTATACAATTTTTTTATATATACAATTTTTATTATCTTCTCTTTTAATACTATTTTAAATCTACTTAATGCGTTAATACTTACGATTCCATCTTTCTTATATAAAAAAGTAAACAAGCACGTTGGAGAGGAGGCGTGTACATACATATCTGACCGAATGGACAAGAATAGAAGTACTTGATAAGCTTCAACGAAAATATGTCATTATTTATATAGTATTGATGATCTCATGCGTGCTAACATTAAGTTAATACCTGCAAACGTGTCACTCTGTCGGTAATTCAGAGCTGAAGAATTAATGGGTTCCTAATCGCAGTCTGAAATAATTTATGTCCCGAAAATTGCGCGCGTAAATCAATCTATTTTAAATCCACTCAGAATCCGGTTAATTTGGTAGTTTAACAAAATTAATAACACTCTATTATGTCGAAGATATTTCATCGTTGGAATTAAGCCACATAATGAAACAGTCTGATTGCAAAATCAAAAATCTCATTTTTCGAAATACGTCGTTAAGACCTTCGGGTACTTCCGGTGTAGCGATGCAATAACTTGTATTTGTATTTTGCAGTGAAAGTTTGTTCGATACAGGCCACTGTACTCTTAGTGTAACCCTTGGTCTAGTATTTGTATGTGTCAATACTTAAGAATGTTGCAGTGTGCAACATCTAAGTACAAAAAAGAAATTTTAAAATTTAGAAAGTAGAAAATTTGGTAATTTACAAATGTGGTAATATGGGGATTTGGAAATTTTAAATTCACAAATTAGATCTCCTGAAATCGAAAGCAAGTGGAGACCATGTCCTTATTGTAGGGTACAATGCATTGAAATAAATAATAAATTTAACTATGTACAAATTCCATATATTATAGATCACTGAATCAGGAAAAAGTACCTCAAGGCATACTTCAGGAGAAAGTTATCGAATCATATTGCCGAGCACCTTTATGTAGTCATAAAAAAGTCAATATTCGTCACAGTACACCAGCATGCAACACAGTTTCACGCTTATACAATTATAGTCGTTGATTAACTACCATAGTCAAATAACCAATCGTATTCATTGACACCGTCGAGAATAGTTGAATTTTTATTTCGTACCTCGTTTCGAGGGAACACGTTCTGCATATCTCTGCGAATCATCAGTGAAATTTCAGTAACAGGAAATCGACGATTTAAATCCGTTTCTCTTTTGTTCAAGATCTCCTTGTACCAGTTACAATTTTCTAAAAAAAAATAACATACCTCATGCTACAAATTTTCATATCGAGTGATCATATTTAGTATGATGGGGCATTGACACTAAATAAATTTGAGAAAGCACACCAGACGAAAATTCTAATTACGCCAATGCGCATGCGCATGAGCCAAGTCATGCGTTTCATTTTTTACGTAAAATACTGTTGCGTAGGATGATGAGAATAATCTGATCTAACTGACCGTCAATATTAATTCCACGTGTACGTTTATACTTATCGCGCCGCTAATTCCATTATCATGCAACAATACGAATTGTCGATTGATTATTGCGCACGACCGACGTATTTTCATTTGGAAACAAACCGTCACAAATATTCGAAACTAACCCTTTGTTATTCGTACTGTTGCACGTGCTATTACGAGATAACCTTTTCAAGCAAATCAATTTCTATGTCCTATTGTTACTCCAGATTTAGTCCATTTTATCATCGCTATTGATACTGCTGTACGAATTGAAACCGGTTTCAGCTTTGTCGAGCCCGATTCCCGGGATTTAATTGTATTTGGTTATTTTTAGCTCACACGATATATTGGATGCTTTAAAAATATATCAGTCAGCCGTGAGATACTTTTTCCGTATCTTTTCTATTTCGCAACCGTAACACTTTCCGTGAAGATTTTGTTTTTAAAAGTTGAGACGTAGAATTGCAAACAGATTGCAATGCATGAGATTCGTTAACAGGAAAGGGGACGTAGTTTTTGAAATCAACAATGAAGCTAAACAAAGGACAGTCGTTACATATATTAATGCAGTTGAAATTGCGAATGTCTGACATATGTGGCACTTTAGATAAGCAAGACGTATCGGTCTTCGTAATATACGAGAATAATGTCACCCGTGTAATATTGAATCAGCGAAGAGAATTGGAATAAATTAAAAATGACGTATTTAAATATTCAGATATTACGGTATTACATTGCACTTTTCGATCGCATATTATTAGCTTATATTAAATACTGGTTACGAACGGCTACAGAACCCAAGTTTTATCGATTTAATGATATTGCGGCGTCAGCTGGTTTGGGTCATTCACCATTCTACTTAAAGCGAATATGCGAAGTTATCCGCATATTTATAAACTTTCAGATATATCGTGAAAAATTGACATGCATAATTTCATAATTTTCTTTTAATTCAGATAAAAATTATATCTACAGTCATATTGCAAGTCATGCTCATGTTTATATTCATTTTGATCTCAACTGATTACGTCACTTCATTTGTTCAAGGATTGCTGTTAATTTCATAGAGTTGTGAAATTTCGTAGAAACTATAGAGAAATAAAGTAAAAAAAACATTTCTGTATTTAATTTTAATGCACTTACAGTTATATGAATACAGCTACTATGTTCAATAAATATCAATTGAAAGCCTTATTTTATAAAATATATTTTTAATTTGTAGGTATTATATGACTGTGTAAAGGCACGGAGAGAAGTTGAGCTGCATTGGAGAGCATCAAATTGCAGGCATATAGTTCAAGTAAAAGATGTGTATGAAAACACGTACAGTGGAAATAAATGCTTGTTGGTTGTTATGGAATGGTAAGATATTTATATTTAAATATTATTATAGCATTAATGTTTGTTTTTAAACAAAAGCTGAATGTCTGATCAATTTTCAGTATGGAAGGAGGAGAATTATTTGAGAGAATACAAGATAGACAAGATGGTGCTTTTACAGAGAGAGGTATAAACAAACTGATCGGTATTGAAAATATTTAAACAAAGAATAAAATTTGCTTATTTTCATATTTCATTTACAGAAGCCGCACAGATAATGTATGAAATTTGTGTTGCTGTAAAGCATCTACATGATATGAATATTGCACACAGGGATCTTAAACCTGAAAATCTTTTATATTCCAAACCTGGTATGTATTTATATACATTAATTTATAAAGCACGAATTTATTACATATGATGTATTATTTTCAGACAATACTGGAATATTAAAATTAACTGATTTTGGTTTTGCAAAAGAGACACATTCAAAGGATACCTTACAAACACCATGTTACACACCATATTATGTTGGTAGGTAGCATTTCAAATTCTAGTTCCAAGTATGACAAATACAAATAATTAAGCAAATGTTTCTTTTATTGTTTAGCTCCTGAAGTTTTGGGACCAGAAAAATATGATAAAAGCTGTGATATATGGTCACTTGGAGTCATAATGTACATACTGTAAGTTAAAATTATTTATGAACAACTATAATTGTAAATTTATATATCAATTTGTATAATAGATCAACATTATAAAATATTTTAGGTTGTGTGGTTTTCCACCTTTCTATAGTAACCACGGTTTAGCGATTTCACCAGGAATGAAAAAGAGAATACGATTGGGTCAGTATGATTTTCCAGCTCCTGAATGGTCAAACGTAAGCTCGGAAGCGAAAACTCTTATTAAGGGTATGCTATGTACGGATCCAGCACAAAGACTGCAGATTGATGAAGTGATGCGTAACAAATGGATTGCTGTAAGCATTTCGACTTTTATATTTATAGGTGTATTCCTTGTAATAATCGTAAGTATTACTTTTGTTATATAGCAATATACGGAAGTCCCACCTACGCCTTTACATACTGGGCGAGTGCTACGAGAGGGCGAAGAACTTTGGCCGGAAGTTCAAGAAGAAATGACACGATCTTTAGCCACAATGCGTGTAGATTACGATACAGCTAATTTGAAACAATTGGATCACACAAATAATGCGTTATTGAATAAACGCAGACGAGCAAAGCAAACGAACGCTGTACCGCCAACTGCTAATCCAACAGCTGCATCCTAGGAAGACGCAATAAAAGCCAGCAACCACTGGCGTATTTTTTTACAAAGATGTGTAAGGTATAGCGTAATTACTATGAGAATTGTTTTTTGATCATTGGTATGATGTAAAAACTAAGTGGTTGTAATAGAAGTGATCATGAGGACAGTTATTATGTATTTTAAAATATATGCAGCTAAAATGGAAAATTATAGAGAAATGGAAACTGAATTATAGTATTCTAGCAATTCCTAATAGATTGCACGAACTTGTGCTATTATGTTTACATACCACTTCTAAGAAGTTTTTCTTCAAATATTATAACTATAGATACTTAATTTATTGAAAGGCACTATTAATGTTAAAAATGAAAGAATAATGCGCGAGGAGCGCTGCCTAATAAAATATACAGTGCATTTTTCACTTTCAATAGAACACTTATAAATGCAGAGGTAAATAAACTAGAAATCAAGAAATATTGTGACTAAATAATGATACTATTCCTGTTGTTCATATTTATTGGTAAAACGTTGAAAATTAACGTTTTTTGCTATCAGTTAGCTGTACACATAATAATATTCATATTGAAAAGAAATAAAAATACTGAGTATATTTCATGCTTTGAAATGAAATAATGGATAATGTTACTTTTAATTGAAAGATTGTAATGATTACTTACAACATATTTTGTAAGATTTAAAAAATCTAACATGTACCATGGTATTTTCTATACCATCCTTGAATAATTACAGTACTTTAATTAATCACGAATACTTACATTATTGTAATTATCAAAATATTTTTGAATTTTTAATCACGCACGGTTATAAATTATATATATCTATAAAAGAGATATTCAGTTAAAAGATAATGCAAAAATGTACAATGTACTTCTAAGTGATAACCTTGACTGAGGCTTAATATGCGAACAATTTTTATAATTGCCATAAAGTACTGACATATGTTGTCCTCATTGCTTCTTAGGCACTAAAAATAATTGTTTATTTTTAAAATAGCAAAATTTGTAATAAACAAATTTAAACCGAGAAACAAGTATATGAACTTCGTTAAATAAATGTAGCAATTATATTTTTTTAGGTGTATTATAGAATAAAAATTGAAATGAACCTAGAGGAGAAAAATGCCTTAATTAAAGGTCAATTTTCAGTTGTAAGGTCAACTAAAGCCGTTAGGTATATATTACTATTAAGTGCATATTTTGGCGATATTTAAGAGGTGATTAAATCTCATATAACGTGTTACTGTTTCATCAGAAACGACTGATATGTTATGAATTGTAAATATTATATGTATTGAATTATTTTTTAATAAGATAATATTAATAGTAGTGATCAATCATATACTTAGTAGTCATCTATATTAAGTATTAAAAATTTGTAACAGTTAAACATAAATTTTATGACTGATAAGTAACAAAGAAATAGAACTGATTGGGCCTTAACTTGTTTCCACCATTCTGCATTATTTTAAGATTTTAAATTCATTGACAATTTTCTTTTTATGGTATATTTACCATCATATAATATTATAGGATTGTGGAAACAAAATTTTCTGTGGTATAAATATTGTATGATGGTTCAGCTCTTATGTTTTATTGAAAAAGATAAAACAACTAATTATTAACCATGTACAAAAACTGATGGGTATTTTAATTCAAAATAATCTTGGAATAATTTTTCTTCATTGAAATGTTATATATAGTTAAGCATATTACATTATAAAAATATTGTTGCATTGTTATACTTGATAAAACTGCGATAGTACAATTTCTATAGAATAGAACGATTATAAAGTATACGGAAATTAATACATATATTTAAATTTAATTCGAGCTGGACTACAGTAGTAAAGTATTTTTGTAATGGATTTATGTCTGTTGGTTTGCACTGCATTTATGAAACTTGACAATAAATATACAGAATGTCTTTAATTACGACACAGTCAACTCATTATTTAATTGTAACTCTGTACTGTAATTATGATTACTAAAATTGTATTATTTCAATAACTGAAATTACTGTGTAAAAAAAATTAAACGATCTACAGTTACAAAAGTTAAAATAAACACATATAATAGTAATAACATTCAAACAAACTTTGTTTCATATCTACTTTCTTAGCCACTAATGTGTAATTAACACAAATATCATCTTTATTTGTTCATTTTATATTTTTAAGCATAATTATATTTATCCATCTGAAAAACTCTTGAAAAATTACAGTAATATTCATAAAATTTATCATAATCAAATGTCAAGATTAATTTCCACGATATATAAATACGTATTTACATATAAAATATAAATAACTTAAGCTATCTATAATTAAAATAAACCTTGTACAAATATTTGTTATAACTAATCATTTCAATTACACTATTATAGTTAGTACATTATTCAGTAAAAACTGGCACAAGGTATAATAAAACATGCGATTAAACTCACCAGTGGAATTTCACTATATGACCTACTAAACGAGTTTCCTGGACACCGACTTTTACGTATAAATGGCGTTTCTCATCATTCTAGTCAAAGATCAAATTGATCGAAGATCAAATCGATCGAAGATCAAATTAGGTCGAAAATCGAAATCGAACAAAACTCGAACTCAGTCGAAGAAAACTGAAATGGCCGAATCTTTGTACTTGCGTGTAGTCTGAGCAAGAATGGTGAAACAGGCCATCTTTTGTAAAAGTTTCATTTGTATGACCCATTTCATTTTTATCCTCGTGTAAACCATATAGTGACACTGCAGTGTACATCGTTTTGATAAAAACATTTTTCACTCCATAATTTATGATAAACATTAAGAATATATAGAAACAAAGCTGAAAAGTTTTAAATTATATTCTAAGCATAAGAATAAATAATAATCTTTAACGATCACGATTTATTTTGTGCCCTGAATAATGTAATTAATGTTCGCATGTATTTTTCTTGTAACTTTTAAGTAGTATCCATGTACTCAAGTGCTATTCAAACTTCATTCAAATGGCATACAATTTATAAACAATTATTTTACAGACTCGTTATGATAATATATCACAAGTTATAAAAAAATATGATTATTTCTTATAATAAATTGTTGTCCTGTAAAATTATTTTGTAGAATTTTAGTATTCAAAACCTAATATAAAAGAAATTTTGATTTCTATCACCCTATCTGTTCTGTGTTTAATATAAACAATGAGTAATTAAATATTTTTCACATGTTATATATTTTTAAGGTTTGTGTTTGTATTATATGATTATTCACGAGAAAAATATTATATTTATATTGTACTAACAAATTACATACTTACTGAAATGTATCAAGCACATACAGTATTAAATTTTGATGATTTGTAATGTTTAAAAATTTATGTATCAATAAGTTTTATTTCGAATTATTATATTAAAAGCATTTGATTTTTCATGTAACTTACAAAACCAAACATCGTATATGTACCCTTTTTAACCCGATCTTTCTGTATACATTGTATACTTATATATTTAAACGAACAATTGTATGTGACTTTACACATTTAATTACAACAGTCTATGTACAGACTAAACTTTAACTATGTAACATTAAATGCCATTCTCCGCAATCATTTTCAAATAAATTCAAATAATGCATTCTCGATGTAATATACGGAAGGCGATTAAAGTGATATCAAATTAAATTAAAATATTTAATTACAATTATCACCGCTTTAATAAATTTGCTAAGAGTTATTGGAATGCAAAGGAATGACGAACTTGGGTCCAAAAGGAGACCTATACGTTATACCAACATCTGCGTATACTTTGTTTGGCAGTGCAAGATTACATAAATATAGTCTGCCATTATCGATGCTATGAGACAATGGTAATCCACCGAGTAAACTAAATTTGCTAAGTATACCAGGTGTACCAGTAGCTGGAGGTTCAATAGCTAAAATAGGTGCTCTGTTACTATTTGCCCACCTTGCTATAGGTGTAATTGTTCTTGGAGAATTTTCATCACAAAGTGCTACAAGTATTAAATCCACTACGGCCGGTAAATTTTTAACTTTACTCTCTACCTTATTACCTGTTAATTTGTACAAAGATAGTTCTTGTAATAGAAAAACATCTTCAGAATTTTCCACAAATACTATCGTTTTAACACCATGACTAGATAATTGTCTAGCACAGTTAACACCTGCAGCTCCCGAGCGATGAGGTCCACACAGTGCTACAACTGTTGGCCATTGATGTGCATTATTTGGATTAAGTCTATGACTTCCTCCCAGTAACTGCAATATTATTTCTGCACCAGCACGGCCAAGAAGTTCCACCTAATTAATTATATTATTTTTATTTATTGATATAAATTTATTGCTTTGTTTTTTAATGAATTTTACATACCCTACGTTCCCAACTAATTCCAAGTCGGTCAGCTGCTCCTATTAATTGACGATGAAGATTAAGTGTTATGCTAGGAATTATTAAACCATTATCTGTTACATATTCTTTTTCTCCAGCACTAGGTACTGTTATTTGTTTAAAAACTGTGGGTTCAGAAACAATAACATTTTCATCATGCCGATATCTTCCCCTATTATTTTCCGATTGCCTAACAATATCTGGCTTTAAAGAGTTTATTTCTTGCCAGACAGCCTGTAAAAAGCATTTATTATTCTTCATATCAATTCAAGGAAAATTTCTCCAAATTGTATTTAACATTTAAGAACAAACCTCTTTATTAAATAACGCTAAATTCTTTTCAAAATCAAAATCTTGACTTAAAGACTGATCAATTGGTGTACCAAATGTGTGTTCATCTCTTTCTAAAGCTCTTTGTCTATGACTCAATCTTCTTGGTAGTGGTTTATTAGCAGATTCAACTGAAATAAATAAATTATTATTAACCTTACTTAATACTTGTATAAATATAAAAAGGTTCTAATGTTATTATTATACCTAATGGAACTTTTCCATTTGTAGATTGCTCTGTAATAGATTGTGCGATACTATCTGGTTTTTTCAAATTTGGTTGTGTCTGATATGATGTAGATTGAACAGAAGATGGAACGCTTTCTGAAAAAGACCTTCCAGCTCTTTTAGCAATAGGTCTTTTTACAGTTACTTTATTTTGTGTTTGACTTGTATCATTTGTATTAGATGTGTCATTAATCGATATAAACTCTACATTTAATATATCCTTTGCACTGAAAAGGTAAGAATAATTTTATGATTGAAGATAATAAATTGCTAGAATAACTATGAAATTGTACTACCTTAAAACAACTACAGATGAAGAATGAGGTACACCATTACAAAATGCTTTTGAAAGTGTAACATAATCTTTGTTTAAATCAACTATCTGTCCTTGGTAAGTACCGATTTCTTCGATACATTTCACAGAAACTGTACAACCCACAAATTGTTCTGACATTCTGGTTATCTATCTGGACACATTAAATTCATCAATGAAAAATATTAATTTATGACAAAAATTCATTTTAGCAAGTACAGTAATAGTAAATAAATGATACCTATATTATGTATTTCTTAAATTATAAATAAAAACATGCAAAAATTGATCAAAAACGTAAGTTACACAAACCTAATGTAAGCCACTAAATGTGAATATATTTTGTACAATAATTGGTTAGTAACTTTAATAACGTCTCGAATAATTTAAGACTTTATAGTTATTTTGAAATTTAAAAGTATTAAACATATGTCAATATATTTATCAACTTGCAATGCCAGAAACAAAATTCTTATATGTTTTCATCCCTACTCAAACCGCACACCGCTTTGTATGATACGATATAAGTAAGCAAAAAACAGTCATACCTCGATACTATTGGTTCAGCTCTTATATTATCGATTCTTACTAACAAAAAATACTAGAAATTTTCAAATACTTATTCAAATTATCCATATTTTATAATACATTTCTATATAAAAAGGCAAAATATAGATTGCCGAATATAGATATAAATTTATTATTACGAATTCGCATATACATATACACTGTTAAACCTATGTGTTTTTATTTTGAGTTTGAGTTTTTTTTGAACGTCCAATAAAAACATTAAAAAATCATTGATGATGTGTGTTCATTATTATTATTACAAAGTACTAATATATTATTTGTAAACAAAACAATTTTTATTTAATTTTATTAAAATTTTAAAAAATTTATCATTACTTCAAATTTTCAAATATCTAAATTTATAAGTTTTTGAATTTGTAAACTAATCAAAAATTAACAATTGATGGGATCTCATTCCCCTACCTTACCATTTTCTCTAGGAAAGCTTACACTGCTCTTTACTATACAAAAGAACATACACAAGCAAATACTAAAAAACTTTGTCGAAACCCAAATACTTGAACATACAACTCAAGTAAGTATGTGTTAATACAAAAACGTGTCTTACCAGTTCTTACAAATTGATGTGAAAAAGACCTAACTTTCAGTACCGTTTGGCACAACACATCCCCTCCACGTATATTTAAGAAGAGAACCGTGTAAGTGACCTTACGATGGAAGCGAACAACCTAACTACAAATTAACCGCGTATCTAAATTTTATATAATTTTTATGAATCGTTGAAGTATTAAGAAAACTTGTAAATTATAATATCTAATATTTTGATATGCAATGTACATATTATCTTTTATCGCTTTTCCATTTAAGATAAAACGGTATATTTATGATGAAATACAAAATTAATGTTTCAGAATAGGGACGAATATATAATATACGTATTTTACTTAGGTATTTATTTACGCGTTATAGATTTGTTATCGTCAGATTCATAGTAATTTTATTTTTTTTTATAAATTGTATAAAATGCGTTTAATAAAAGTATAAAATATACAAATATCATTCAGTATTCATAGAATACAGGAATACTGTCCCTTAAACAAATAATAATCTTTAATATAATTTAATTTATAAGTCATTTACATTGAAATCTTTGCACTTCAGATTCCTTACTGCATTGTACTTTGTTTTGTCAACAACTGGTCCTGTAAAGAGGCCCGTGGAAAATCGTTTATAATCATCCACTAATTGATACATTTTGTTACATGTATCTAAACATTTGAGATCAATATCAATAATATTACACATTTTATTTACACTATCTTTAGATATTGGGACTTGCTCAAGGATTTGCATTTCTTCTTTCAATGCAGCATTTAAAATAGTACCCTGTAATATTTATACAAAATTAGGTTTTCTATATTACACAATGCTTATAGAATAACGAAATACATACTCTTTTTGCTCTCTGTTGTAGGTCTTCTAAATTTTGTTTCATATTTTGAAATTCTGTTTCACTGTATTGTGTTTTTTGATACTTGTCTTCTTCCAACAGAACATTACTTGGTACAGCAATATACTTATTTACAATAGTCTAAATAAAATAACTATGTTTATTTACTCTTGTTACAATGTCATAATTTAAAGGAATGTTGGAAATAACGTATTTACCTCAATATTTTTTAAATGCAACACTATTGCTTCATAATATAATTTTTCTAGTTGCTTCTGATTTTTCTTAAGAATTGCTACATTCTCAGAATCTAACTTGTATACTTCTTTAATTGTTTCACACATTTTACTAATTGTGGAATGAATTCTTTCATGTACAATATTTTTCACTAAAAACAAAGAAAATATTTGCATAAAATTAATTATTTCTACCAATCAAACTACTCAAATTTCAAGTTTAATATAAATATTACTACTTTATTAATATTGCGCTACATTCTGCTCTGTGTGAAATAATTCATACAATAAAATTAAATCAAACTATTTTGCAATACAATTATTTAAATCTATACATTTTTACTAATCTAGTAGCAAGCACAATACACAAAGGAACTAAAGGAAAAACACAAGAAACAAATAATATATGTATTAATTGAAGGTCAATTTTTATTTGTTTTTAACGAGGAAAAAAAAAGAGAAAAGCGAAGCGTTAGTCTTTGTGATTAACTTCGTTTGTTGGAGCCGGTGAAAGTATTCCAAGCAATGGACGAGTGTAACTCTAGTCATGATTAAATTCACATGATACCAGAGTGCACCCGTCCAACGATCGGAATATATCGTTGTGCATACTGAAAAGGCCAAATAATCTGAAAAACATTCAAATATAAAAATCAAAACGGCGGCGCCTTACAAGTAGCATACACGGCTCTTGAATGAAAGTTAAACAGCTGCATTTCGTATTCTTCCAATTTACGTTTCCGTAATTCCGAGGACGCCATATCGTTAAATAGTTTTATATACACATAAACTGTACGACGATTCGATAGAAGCACTCAATATCTTCATACTTCTTCGAAGCAACTTTCGTTCTCTCCGATGATCACACCTTGACGTCCGTTGACAAATGAACATGGCGTCTGTGTGCTTGCGTACGACAGCGTCCTTTGTCCCTTTGCGTTCGCTAAGGCATCCAGAATTTCTAGCGGGTTTTCAAATTATTTCAAAAGTGACCAATCACAAACGAATCTGCACCAATAAGAATTTCTCGTTTTCGATTATCTTTGAATTATATAATTCTACTTGTATTAACATATCAGCAATCACGACAGAAATATTTTCCTTATATTTGAATTATGAAGATTTTTCTACTTTACATTCAAGTACAACGTAAGTTTTTTCAAATAAGGACAATGGAAGGAACACCCCACCATTTCTCCGCTTTCGTAGGATTAAATATGTAAACTTGAGAATTCTTAAATCCCTAAATTTCTACATTGCCAAACTGTTGAATTTTTAAATTTTCAAATTTCTAAATTTTTGAATCTTTATGTTCCTAAATTTGTATCTTATTTATTATCATTAAATGCTGCTAATTTGTGCTAAATAAATATTCGAATTTTCCTTCGTTTTAATTTTTGTTTAATTAGTTTCCCGCTCACGCTGGATGGCGCAAGCGTGTCTTTTCCACAGCGCGCAATTACGTACAATTAAAAAAATATTTAAAAATAATTTTAGCACAAAATTTTTGACTTGTCGAATTCATACTTATGGAGTAAAATAATACTTTTAATTATAAAATAAATATTGTATTGTTTAATGATTGTAATGATAGGAATTGTAGAGTCGATTAAATTTTCTACTTCTTTTCAATGATATTATTGTTAACATAATAAAATACATTCTAATACTTTTATTTGTAGCTAGTGATCACTATATAATATATTACAAAGTCCACAAACGATTAATACACCTACTTTGTAAGAGAGTAAATAAGTACAATTTCTTTAAAGTAGTATAATTAATCTGTAGTATATATTTTTATAGCGATAAATGTTCTTATTATACGAAATATGTGTCATGTAAGATTCCTTTGAACTGCGCTACGTGACTAAAATGATAACGATAGGAGTCAAAGAAACGCAGAAAGATATACACATTATTTATACCACACAATAAGTTAAACACTCACAAGTAGTAAATTCATAAAATAAACAATAATTTCGATCTATTTAAATATACAATAAAATATCTGTTCTACTTACATACGTGCAGTAAAGATGATGAATGTCATATTTCTTAGAAACTCTGACTCAACATACTCGAAATCCTTACCAATAGATGTCGTAAGAATTTTTAGAAAATTTCTAAGAACGGATTTGGTTGCAGATTTTAGTGAAGCTCGTTTTGACGTTGAGTATAAATCCGATAAAGAACCATCTCGCTTCTCACGATGACCTCTACTCTCGTGGATATTCAGATGAAAGCTTTAATCAGTGTTACATTGTCAACTTCACCGAATGCGCGGAATTTACGCTCTGTATTCAGTTAAGCTCGTGAATGATATAACAATATCGATTTATATCTTTCAATCGAAGCTAATCGTTTAAATACTCTTTTCTATAACGTGAGAGCACGTGCGTTTTGATACATGCGCACAAATACTTATAAAAGTTTATATATACACATGTATTAGAATTGAGATTAGCAGATTGTTTAGTGTACGAGTGAAGAAGTTTAGAACGAAGAAATATATAAATTTAATTCTTCATTTTTTCTCGTTTAATAATTATGTTTACAAACGGGAAGATTGTTCATGTGTCATTATTAGAAATCGTTCAGTTGCATTTTCTTTCTTTTGTGTGTGGATTTTATTTGATAGTAAAAAGATTTCTAAAATGGATTTGGGATCCTAAGAAGTTCTTTATGATGCAGCAGCGAGATAAACCCCCTCCTTGTTTAGTAGACAATCACTTGGGAACTCATTCGTACGTGAAAATCAAGGTAAGAAAAATTTTCCGATATTCGTTATCGGTATAATATGTATAGCGTGAATTTTGAATAAAATTTATCCAAAAAAAATGTATAAGAATGGTCGACCTCTGATAACACTTGACGACATAACTCTCTGATGTTGTTGACTACAGATGTAGTCATTGGTGATGCACACGTTCGATTTCGATCGATAAACGCGATTGTATTTGTTTAATAAATTGTAACGAATGCATTTGTCGATCAATAAATACTGTCAATATTTTAGGATACTCACAATTAATATATGTTGACAATATAATATTACTGACATTTTCTTAATGTCAAGAAACATTGACTTCAAATCTGCAATAAAAGATATTTTTCACATGCATTATGAAATTTTTTTACAGGGAGTGAAGTTTCATTATGTGGAAGCTGGAAATAAAGATAAACCACTTGTATTGCTTCTGCATGGTTTTCCTGATTGCTGGTTATCTTGGAGAGAACAAATACCATGTCTTGCTGAGCATTATAGGTATATTTGATTTTTAGTCAAAATATTTAGAATTATATAATGGATAACATAGGTAATATCTAGAAGAATAATATTCTTGATCATTTAGGATAGTAGCAATAGATCTGAAAGGATTTGGAGATAGTGATAAGCCAGCAACTAAACGTTCCTATAGAATTGAAGTTTTAATTGAGGAATTAAAACAGTTTATTTTTACTCTTGGAGTAAGACAGTGTAGTATAATTGGTCATGATCTGGGTGGCCTTTTAGGATGGTACATGGTAGCCTTACATGAAGATATGATTCAAAAATTTGTTGTGATATCATGTCCACATCCTAATTTTTATTGGAATCGAATGACAGGAAATTCTGTATTTGATTTAAAGTAGGTGTATTATATTCATTATTATTAATTAATGTTCTATGAATTGTATGTATCTTATTATTAATATTCCTATTTAGATGGATGCATTTTAGTAGACTGCCATTTCTTCCTGAAATTGATGCACTTAAAGAAGATTTATCCATCATAAATGATGCATTTCAACATTTGCAGCTTGATGCAATAAATACTGAAAAAAACTATGTGGAAGCATACAAATATGCATTTAGTAGAAAAGGTAAACTAGAAATACTTAATGTATATTTTTTATATACATATAGAGAATAAAAACAAACTGATTGTTCGCAGAGGATTGGACAGGTGCCATTAATTACTACAGAAATCTTCCTTTTATAAGACTTAATACAGATTCTTCTGAACAAATCTCTACTAAAACTTTACTTATAGTTGGAAATAAAGATCCACTTGTATCAATAGAAAATGTTATACAGAGTTCTGAGTATATTGAAAAATTTAGTGTAAAAGTAATTGCTGGGGCACAACATTTCCCACATCAGCAAAAACCAAATATAGTAAATACAGCTATTTTAAAATTTCTTATGGGTAAGTTACATACAATAACTGTGTCATGTATAAAGAGTTATTTAGATTTTTGGTAATACAGTAAATAAATCTTTTTTCAGGTTCAACAAGCATTGTAGAGAAATCACCACCTAAGAATATTATGTCTTCCTGGTTTGGATCTTTAAGTAATACTGTTAAATATGGTAATCATGTGTTCGACACCGTTCATAAAAAGACTAGCGGCGTAGTTAATGTTCTTCCTAGTAAAATATTTTATTTGGGACAAACTGCAAGGTAAATAATATTTTATTCTTATTCACGTAAAAAAATCAACAAAATCTCATTTTTTCTGTCTATATTTGAGTTTTAAAACGAATGACGATCAATCTTTATTAGACAATAATGCAAGACTTCATGTTTTTAACATAAATGCAAAATAGAATCTGTTGCCAAATATCATAGAACAGAAATTATAAAATACAGTAGACTTTCGTATAATGCTAGTTTTCAAAACGCGAATTTCTATAATGCGCCAAAGATATTAAGATTAGTTTTTATGTATGTATTAATCGGGTTACACGGAAATCTACTGTATTACATATTTTAATAATGATATTCAGTGATAATGTGATGCATAAACATAAAAAGGCTGATTTATTTTAGTTATGTTACTTTTATGAACATTGTATATTGTAAATAATGATGTAATTAAGGAATCAGCTAAGTTTTATGTAAAAAGTACTAATTTTTTTATGTGTGTTATACGAATATGAAATTTTATTTTATTACTTATTTATTTAATGCATGTACATACATTATTTTTAGCTATAGTATTAGGTCATAAGAAGAGCTATATTTCCATAGCTCAGCTCAAAAAACAAATAATGTATGATGTACATATAGTCAAGTTATTTTTTTATGATAATGTACATACGTGATAAAGTTATTTTTATTAAAATGGCGAATTATTTAGTAGATATTTGACAAAGTAATGTAAACTAAAATACTAATTATAGAAACATATAATATATATTTTTAAATGTAATTATTAAAAATATAATATAATTGTATTTTTATCTAATTTTTGAAATATTAAAATTGATTAAGTCTAATTTGATTTATTTATTAAAATATATAACAATAAGAAAAATGTGAATTATTAGAGGGTACATTTTCATTGAAAATGTTGAGCAATTAATTTAAATTTTTTATCGTTTTTTCCTAATTTTTAACGAATGTTACTTCGTTCTACTTCTTTTAGTTTGTTTTCTGAAATAATTATAAAAATAATATTATTTGAAAATAGACAATTAATATTTTATTATCTTAGAACTTACTTTCCAAAATTTTCTCCGTCTTCAATGGTTTCGGGTAATTCACAATTCATTGTTTCTGGTAACAATAAACACAACACCGCACCAAGTAAAGGTCCTGCTCCGAATATTACTGGTGGTAACCAGGGTTCAATTTTTCCCTGAAAGCACATAATAAAATTCAATATATTATTATTACATTGTGCATACTAGTATAATAGTCGTAAAAAATATTACCATCGTTGCAATATATGGTGCGATCATACTTCCGACCCTAGCGCAAACACTTCCTAAACCTACTCCAACATTTCTAACTACAGTCGGAAATGCTTCACTGCTATAGAGATATATTGTAGGAAAACTAAATGACATTCCCGCAAGCCCTAATGTAGCCAAAAATATTGTATGTTCCGAATTTGACATCACAGCTAATGAAAGCAAACTTAAAGCGGACAACAGATTACCACCCATTAAAATTTTTAACCGTGATACACGTGATATCAAAAATAGAACTGCTATGGTGCCAGGTAGTTCAATAACAGCTGAAAATAACATATTTCACAACTTAATAACTTCATATAAAAAATTGAACCAAAGAACAATAGTTTAGTTCATTGATCTTACCTGATACGGCAACATTCACAAAGATATTACCATCAATGTAACCCATATACTGTGCTAATCCAAAAAAGCAGCTACCACAAACGAACCAATTAATACATATACAAATAGTCTTCAGTCTTAGATTCGGTGTTCTAAACAAATGTGTAATATTATATTTCTCTTTATTTTGTTTATGACGAACTCCTATGTTACTTTCATATGTTTCAATCGCTGTTTTAACATTATCTGTTGATATTTTATTTCTGCCAGCTGCTTTCATTAGAATTTGTTCTGCTTCTGATAATTTACCAACAGCAAGTAGCCATCTTGGTGATTCAGGTATAATCCTGAAAAATGTACAAAACTGTACAAGTCTATTAAGCTTATAAATGTGCAATCAATTTGCATACCAGTAATATGACAATAAAAAAATTGATGGTATAGAAACTGCCAATTGAAAACCATCCCATGTTCGTGTTAAGTATGAAATTAAGGGATTCATTAAGTGGCCAAGTAAGAATGGCACATGAAAGAGGACTGACATAATTGATCTCCATTCTACTCCTACAATCTCCATAACTGTAATATATATTATGATATTTTAAAAATAATATTGTATGTATAATTATTTAGATAAGTTTTTTAGTACTTACGTAAAACAAAGCTAACAAGCATAGTACCACCTGTAGCTACAGCAGAAATGAATTTAAATAACACAAATAATTCATACCATGGAACAAATGCACTTATCATTCCAGTTAATGATTGTAATCCTATTGCTATCATCAAAGGTTTCTTTCTGCCAATTCTGAAAACATGTGTATTATTCATTCTGTTTTTATATTCATAATTTAGAACAATATTTAGCATACCGATCAGCCATTATACTGAACACTAAGTTGCCAATTAAGACCCCAAACATTATACAAGATTGTACAAAATTTGCTAATTGTTCACGGTCACAGACCAAGTCCCACTAGAAAAATGTAGTATAAAATTATGTATGCTGACAATTGATATAAGTATTAAATTTAAAAATTAAACTCACCCGAGTTATAATGCTATCCTTAAATATACGCTTATCATACTTAAAACTTGTACACTTTTCCATAGTACCATTTCCTACATCTACATAACATTTCATTATCGTAGACTCGTTAGTTGTTGACATTGGAGCAGCGCATGAAAAATTGGTCGGTGGTGCAAGAAATATAATAGAGAGTTGATGCCAAGCAACAGGAAATTTTACAAGAGAAAGTGCTACAGCAATGACAATGTGCCATGGACCCATAACGCCCATGGCATTTTGTACAACATCTAGTGGTCTATGTTCTGAAAATACATTTACTTTTTTAATTACATATATTATACATAACTTGAACCATTTACTGTTTGAATTGTATTTACCGCCAACAATTACATTTGATTTTATCGACAGATGGTAATATCAGTGGCAGATAAGCTACATTATTTTAAAATTCGTACAGCAATATTTATTTGTAAATGCAAAGTAATCCGTGTGATCTTAAGATATATGGAAGAATAGTGTCTTTAGTAATAATTCATGACACGATAATGATACATTTCAAAACGAATCATGTATTAACGTTATTGGGTGTCATTAATCGTGTTATAAGAGTAATGTTATTTTTGTAACTGGACAGGTTTTCCACTCAACTTTCCGAGTGCAATAACGGTACCCTTGCGATATACATGCATCGCTCGTATTACTGTAACATGATCTTGACTCGGAGAAAGGACTGTATGAACTAATAACATATTCATGTATTGTACATTTGAAAATTTCAATACAATTACTCATAGAATATAAAAACATACTTGGATCAGTTTACATTTTAAAACTTTAAAACTAGTTTAGTTGCAATATAACAGTGCAGATCGTTTATTAATAGATCATAGATAAATCATTAAAGAATAAACAAGTAGTCAAGGAACATGACACTATGATTTTTATGCAGTTTATCTCTATCATAATTTTCCGTAAACTGCATGCTACTGGGAATTAAATTATAATAGAAAAATATTAATACATTATTTTCGATTTTAATGATGAATAACAGCAATAGAAAATAATCTCTGTCATCTTAAGTTGTCGCAAGTAAATGAATTACAAATGTTTACACCTAACTTTAGATAAGAAAATCGGGTGTTATAAAAATCTGACAATTTATGAAAATATGAGGATTTATAAAAACGTTACTTCGATTTATAGAGTACTTATATACATAAATACACTTAAATTTTTTTACACTAACAGTTAATAACATTTTTTTTTAATTCATTTATATATAATAAACAATTTTTATTTCGATTCGATGTATGAATTAATGTTTATATACAGTGTTAGTAATACAATTTTTTTCTATTATGAAGTACTGAATTTTTTATGACAAATGAAATTTCAATTGTTTTTTTCGCATGTTGCAATGATGCACTTGAAGACGCGCGGATTGTACTACGGAATTGAATGTATATTTAGACTCACTCACATTTCAAATTCTAACACAAATAAATGGCAGAATCATGCCAAATATACTAACTTACCCCTCATCGCCTGTTCAAGCATCGTGTTTACGAATTCTGTGTTTTTATTTCTGTCTGCAAAGTTACCAATAATGTACAATATTCAAGTGCTTGAAAACTTTCGCTGACTGTCGTACTGAAAGTCTTACACAAACTAAGAGAGCTACAATACATACTGTGTTCTTTATCTGTTTTATCGATCTAGAACAAGAGATATTCTGGCAAGATGAAAATATCAAATAAAGAAATATCTACTTTATCGATATTTTTGACAATCTTAATCTACTCTGTCAGTTCAATTTTCACGTTATCTTCTAATGTGTTAATGGAAAATTATGAATTTAATCTCGTGAATAGATATGAATCGATGAATTAACTTTTAAATATCCCAGTATTTATAATACATTACGGATAAAAAAATAATTACAATTATGTAAAATAATAAATATCACATATATAAATTAGAAATATAAAAATATATCTTACATTATGATAAAAGTATTTATTTTTCGTATGCGAAGGAACTAAGTAGTGTACCCCGTTTCGGTTGATTACTTTGATCACTTTCGGGGCTCAATTTCCTCTTTTTTGATTCTAAAGATTCTGAACTGTCTTGATTTTTAACCACCTCCTTTTCTTTGTATCTTGCTAAAGCAGCTTTCGTTAAATCTGCTGGACTCAATTCAGGGAACTCTTCCTGTAAACTTTTTTTATTCTTAGCATACCAACTAACAAATGTTTCTTTCTTCGGAGTATCTTTTGCCGGTTTTGTTTTCGGCTTCGGAGTAACTAATGTTGTTGGCTTTTGTGGTTTGTCCGGAGTAACGTCTAATCCAGCTAATCCTATTTTATATTAAGAATACAAATTGATTTAGAGATACAGTAATTAAAATAAAATAAACAGAACATAAAGATCATACCTTTTACAGTCGGAGAATTTCCGCTCTTTAAGAATGGATTACTCCTTTTCATTGATAATGTTTCATTCATAGATAATGGCTTAATTTCTATATCTGGCTTTTTAATAGTTAGTAAGACCGTTGATTCATTAGGATCATTATCCAGAGGTTCTTCTTCGTCGCTTTTAAGATCTTCATCGTTATTCTTATTCTCCACTTCGTTTTTCTTTTCTTCCTCCTTTATATCAGCGATTGTTTCTAATTTATTAGATAAGGCTGTTCGATTTATTCTTCGTGCGTACTTAATCGCTAATTCTATGACTTTCTCTGATGCGAGTTGTTCACACAATTCCACTGCACGATATTCCAAATTGCTTCGGCAAGCAAGCTAATTGTATAAATGTATTGAAAACTTTAATTCCATATATATAAATGTATATATATATATATATATATATATATATATAAAATACATTAGATGTTAAACATACTGCAATAAGGGACAACACTGCTTCGTCTTCTTCTAAAGGATCACTTCCCAATTTCCATAATTTTAATTCTTTTTCTGTCTTTTCACTTTCAAATTCACAAAGCGGTGGACTTAAAGTTATTTCTGCGATGACAGGACGTGGAGTAGTTGGTGGGTAGTGACTTCCTTTGCACAAAACGCAGCGAGCTATACTTTGTGCTTCATTAATTCCAATTATGAAATAATGATCTGCTTTACCCTTAGACTGGTTCAAATTCATTGTTGTTATTGTATAAAATATATAAAATGATGAATATAATTATTACCTGTCCATTCATATCACTGGCAACTTTCCACAGGAAAGATTTTTTATTATAAACTTTAATAATATCATCAGCATCCATTATAACAGGAGATCCAAGATCAGAAAGTCCTAACCACATAAGTTCTGATGAAGGTGATAACGGAAGACATAGTGTTCGACTGTGTAAGGTCGATCTACGAATTTGAATCCATAGTAAATTCATGCATTGATCACCTGACACCCCTACACAAATTTTGTAATTAAGAAATGATTAACAAAATCAATATAAAAATATTACCTATTCCACTGTGATAAGCAATCACTAAATTATTTTTGAGTCCATTCATTGCCACCACAGGGCCTGGTAAACCTATCATTTCACGCTGCGTTCCACCTACTGTAAAAATCCTTAAATATCTTCTAGATGTCGAAAGAGCTACGAAATTATCACCAGCGGCAATACACTGTCCTTCTTCATCTTCAGGTAGATCTGTAGACCATTCTTTATTTCCAGAACCCCAACCTATTTTGATCATTAGTTGTAATTTAACTGAATCAGTTATAAATCATTCTAGCAAGTATTTCGTGTAATATTAACCTTGTAATGCTATTACAACAAGTTTACTTCGGGTATCGCTACTCGATGGACAATTCAATGCTAGTGCTTCTGGAGATAAAGCTGCTATTGTATGTCTTAAATAATTATTAATATGCATACTACGGTGGATTGTCACGTCATGAAACTCAACTTCAATACTAGACTCATCGCCATCTTCGGAAGTAAAACACCTTACCATACCGGTATCATTCCACACCTACATAAATTAACGTTATACTTATTGCTGTATATGTATTAATATTATATTGAAACAGATTTTACCATAAAACGGGATAATAAATGTACTGGGGATGAGCCAGGTTGAAATGGTGGTTGTAAGTGAACTTCAGGTGGAAGAACATTTACATCATGTTGTGATTTTTCAGAGCGTGCATCAGAAACACTTGATTTGTCATCTTCAAGATCTGCAGAGGCTTTAATTTTATTTAAAGATATAACATTTTCTCCATCATCATCTTCTTCTAACATATCAACATTGTTGTCTCCAATATCTCCATTTGTTTCTACATTTTGTTCATTATCTGTTAACTTATCATCAAATATCTGGCCATAAAAAAAATATATTAGAATATTGGAACCAATGCAGAAGTGTTAAGTATACTTACCACATCAATACATCCTAATTGACCCAGAGCATCACAAAATGCTATCTCATCTGGTTTATCAATATTCCAACATAATGCAGTAATTTTAGAATTTTGCTGATGTTCAATATAGCCAACTAATTCCTTTGTTTGCATATTCCAAACAATTATTTCTCCAGTTACTGAACTAGCAGCTATTAATGTGCCACATTCAGAAAATTTACAAATGCTGATTTCCTGTACATATTACGAAACAGAAATGTTATCAACTGCCTGTTTGTTGCATAAAATGCACAAGTAAAATACTTACACTTTTTATATTAATGCATTTTAAACGAAATAATTCCTTCCAAGAAGATCTTTCTACTATAACTACATCCTTCATAAATGGATAAGCAAGATAACTTCCATCTTTAGGGTGAAATGAAGGAACACCATATGTTTTAGCAGTAAAAAATGAGTTACATTTAGGTACAACATTAGCCCATGTATTCACAACATGTTTGTCTTTAATATTCCATACACGTACTGACCCATCTGCACTTGATGATGCCTAAACAAATTATATGTTGCAATAACTATTGCCATTAAACAAGAATAAAAAGCAGGATTACTAAATATATTTTACCACAAATTCTTCTTTGGGGTCCAATGATAAACCTAATATAGGAGCTTCATGTCCCAATAATTCTATATTATCTGATGTATTAATATCAGTCACTTGAATTCTCATATCACTGTAAGATGTTGAATATAACATTATACACATTTATTATATTTATTAACAATAAATTTACTATTACATACCAAGACCCTGATACTATAATATTACTATCTTTTGTTGTTGCTAATGCTGATACAGCAGCTGAAAACCTAGTCACTATCCCTTCTTTTTCAAGATCAGGATAATTCAGTATCTGAACAGTATTGTTATCATTTCCAACAAATATTTTTCCATTCTAAAATAAAAATATTTGTGATACGTAAAGGACATAAACATATATTCATAAGTATATTTCATGCTTGAAAAGTTTTTTATTATTTATTTATACCTTTGATACGACTGATATAGCCTGTTCAGAAACACAACTTGCAGCTGGATCATCATCCATTAAATTCAACCAGGATCGAACATCCCCATCTGACCCACAAGTAACGAGTCCTCTTCTATAAATATAAGTATTAATAAAACACTTATCCTTTCTGTCAACATTCTTTTCTGTTTTCTGATTTTAATACATTAAACCTCTCTGATGTGATAATAAAAGTTTTAACTGTATGTATTAATTAACAATATTATTAAAAATTAGAATTAGAAACTACTTTTTTATACTTCACTTACTTTTCACCAGTGAAATAACAAACATGCGTGTGTCCTTCTGGATGCGCATAACGCATAGGTTTCTTTATTAGTGGCATTGTTTATAACTTGATTAATGACTTTTTATAACACGTGCTCATGTAATAACTCTTCATACACTTTGCTAAAATCTGTAATTGCAAACTTGTGATTCTTTATACCCATACATTTTGGCGCGCATTCTCGATCCCAATTTCAATAAAAGAATTTAAAAGTCCCTGCACATATGCTACTTATTGTGCAATTCATAATAATAAATTACAATTCTATTATAATTTATTACTTTTATTTAAGAAAAAGATACATATGTAAATATTGCGAAATAAGAAATATCTTAAAACATGCTGCTTATAATAAAGTTCATTCTATTCGTTATCGGATGACGAGTTTTTATTCATTCTGCGCATGAGGAGTAACGCACATGGAATGTTTTCGACATACAACGTGTATACTTCGTGATATAAATGTTCAAAGTCCTAGAATTTCAAATTACGAAATTTTCAAATAATCAGATTCCCAAATGACCAAATTATCAAGTCGCGAATTAATAAATTTCTGACTTCCCAAATTCCCAAATCTTCAAATTTGATATGTAGCTTTGTCTGCTATTCATATATTTTATCCACCACGTATATAACCGGCAAAATTGAGAGCGTATGATAGCGCAACAATAATATGTGGTGGGGAACTTCGTGAAGTTAGTCGTATTGCGCGAATCGAGCATGATCTCTCGTTGAACGAATAATAAATAATGTGATTATTAATCTAGGGAATTTGTCAGTTATTCCGCAACGTTCCGAAGCACATGTTGAAATACTGTTTCTACTGTTATATTCCGTGCGTTTGGTAGCAGACGCAGCCTTTTCTAGGGTAACCGAAGGTGCAATGAGAAGTTTGTAAATTTCGTTATTATAAGATTTAAGTTTATATATTAGAATCAACATGATTTCAAAGGCTGCAGTAGGTATTGCTGTTGGAATAGCTGGAATATTTGTTGGATACTGCTTTTACTTCGATCAGAAACGTCGTAGTGATCCGGATTTCAAAAAGAAATTGCGTGAACGTAAGTGAAGCTGTAGTATTCTCTATTCGTGAAAGAATATTCTGAACCATGTGATGTATTTTTAATTAATGTTATATGTTATTCTGTGTAAAAAAATATTTGCAACATGCAATAATTAATTTAATGACAATAATTCTTAATGAAAAATATTTAATTATTTTAAAAATATTACAGTGTACATCACTATTAATATTCTATTCACTTTTAATGTTTGCTTTAGTTATCTTAATACCTACAATGATATACATGTTTAATTGATTCAATGGACACTGTTTTATATTTTCAGGTAGGAAAGCTAAGAAGCAAGCTCAAAAAGCTAGTTCAAAGATTCCAGACTTAAAAGATCATGAAGTTGTACAAAAGTTTTTCTTACAAGAGGTTAATACTATATATTTTAATATAGCATTATGCTTTGATAATTTAACACTGTTAAATTATTTTTGTAACATGTTGTAATTATTGTTAGGTTCAACTTGGAGAAGAACTGCTCACATACGGAGATATAGAAGGTGGAATTGAACACATAGCAAATGCAGTCGCAGTTTGTGGACAACCCACACAGTTATTGCAAGTTCTTCAGAAAACACTGCCACCACAAGTTTTTCATCTTTTATTGCAACGATTACCTGCTATTAGCCAGGTATGTATTAAAATTGATTGTTTAAGAGGATACAGAATGAGGGAAAATTTTGGTTTTTTACTTGTTGTTGCAGAAACTATCTCAATCTGCAATGGCTGAAGAAGATGTTGAATAAAATAATATTCAAAATTACGTTGAATTTTAAAATAAAATCTAACTATTAGTAAAAGTGTATGCTTTTTTTGATAATGTAGGTATTTGTGTGACTTTAATGTGGTCAAACTTTTTAATTGTGTGGCATGTTCTCCTAGATTAAATTTCCATACTCCTTAATAACAATGTCAGTTAATCAAGAATGTGAATCATACTTATGTGCATTTAAATTTTAAATACAAAGATCTCTATTAATTTCATAAGTATGATTTTTGTTTAAAAATTACAATATCCATTTCTAACAGTTTGACTGCGATATTGATGAGTCATACAAGTAAAGTATTTTTGATTAAGCTGGCAGCAAATATACATATAATACATAAAATCTGTAAAGATCTCTAGTCACACAAAATTTTTCTTAATCTATGTAATATGACTATAATAAATTGTTCATATTTGTTAAATGTTTAGCAATTTTATGAGAAAGAACAGGAATGGGAAAACTAATTGAAAAGTAAAATAATTGACCTAATGATAAAATTTAATGTGATTGATTTTATAGAAATTTCAAAATAATTTTTACATTAGCAATATAGCATGTTTAAACATTAGGCTCCTTCAATAAGGAATTCATATGAAATGTGATCTTAAAATAACATACTTATTCCTGACAGCATTTACAACTAGTTACAAAAATACAGTTGTCTATATATTCATAATAAATATATTTTATAGAATTTGCACAAATTTATGCAAACATATATTCTACCTTGTGATTATAAAATTGACATTCTTGTAATAGATGTATTATCTTAAGCATATGTACATGACATTATTTTCAACGGTACTCACTAGCATATTAAATACTTTATAATGTTTTTTTTTGTATAAAAAATGTTCTATTCTTATAAACTAAAGGCAATAAGAAAGAATTATAGTTTATATCATAGTATCAAATAAAAGCTGTTTTTTCTTAAAAATTGTATCATGTGAAAACAAACTGAATGTTATTAATAAAAGAGAAAAATAAGTTCAATAATATACTGTTGCATTTCCAATTACTGTTACATGTAAAATAATTCATTTGTTTATGAAAAGTTGCAGATAGTAATATAGTAACTCTTGACTTTTGACTAATATATTAAAGAATTATTAACATCTTTTATTAAAACGTTATAGATATGAAATTCAGGTTTATAAAAATATTTTCTATCATTTTGTAACTTAATATATAATATATATTTTTTATTTCCTTTGTTTTCCCTTGATATACAACAGTAACTATAATGCATGCTATAACTGTACAGACTTTTTTTATAATGAACAGTATTTTTATAAATTATCTAAATGTAAACAACTGTTGAAATAATACAATAAAATAATAAACTCCTAAATATACTTTCATATTACTTATTTTCTAAATACATTTCATCATAATACTATTCATTAACATAGAACAATTAGTTTCCTTGATAATGATATTTGTGACAAAAAAGGATAATATATACACATATGTATAGAATAAATTCAATTATAACAATATTATATTTGTTACTTTTGCAATATATTATACAATTACTCAAACAATATAACAATATTTTACATGGTTTCAAAATAAAAATATGGCAGTGTATAGCTTCTATTCAAACTGCTTTTACTATTGGTAACTTTTGTTCAATATTTCTCACATTTATAGTAAGTACAGAAATCAATTTTTTTGTGACGAAAATAGACTGCCAAATTATAAGATAATAAACAATATTTGACAAACTCATAAACATTTCAAAATTATAACAAACTGTACATCAGGGTATTATAGATTTTTTTACAAGCTGCAACATTTTGTACTTTTTTTACACTGATTAAATATGAAATTTCTATCTTACTATGTACACTTTTCAAATGTTTCCATCATCAAGAAAACCTTATTTTGTATTACTTATTTACCAATCCTATTTCGAATTTAAAACTTCATTTCTAGCTTGTTCCATAATATCAAGAGCATTCTTCTCTATTAGACTTTTTGCAAGATCTTTACCGAGTTGTTCGGCTCCTATAAGACTTAAATTGCTTACTTTACCAGGTGCAACACTGCAGTAGAGTTTTGGTTCTCGATATGGACATTTTCTGTAATATAATAAATGTATTTTATATAAATAAAGTACATATTTATTAATCTACTGAATAATAGTGTTCTATAAAAGGATATATCCACTTTTACTTACTTTGGAGGTTCGCCGTCATCATCAGGTATATAAAGTTTGGCTTTAGTAGTATCTTTAACAAGTGTTTGTCCATTTAAAGACCATACAGCACCGGTAATAGTTAGATGCTTATCTTCTAAAGATGAGAAAACAGCAACTGGTGCTGAACAACCACCTCCTAAAGTTTTTAGAAAAGAACGTTCGCATACACATCTTAAAGTTGTATCAACATCATACAGTGGTTCCAGAAGGGACAATATTTTCCAATCTGCTTCCCGACATTCAACTCCTAATGCACCCTGTCCCACAGCATACAATGTTTCTTCTGGTTCTAACAGCTATAAATACCAAAAATATATATAAATAAAAACATATAAATTTAATAATAATCTTATGTACAACTACAATGAAATTTACCTGACTTATTCTATTTTCCCAATTCATTCTTTTTAAACCAGCAGCAGCCAAAATTATTGCTGCAAAAGGTCCATTTTCGTCATCCAATTTTCTTAGTCTAGTATTTAAATTACCACGAATATTTTCTACCTTTAAATGTGGCATGTTTCTAGCTAATTGGGCCGATCTACGTAATGAACTAGTACCAATAACACTACCTTCTGGTAATGTAGATAATGTTTTATCTTTGTACTTTTTAGACATAACAACTGCATCACATGGATTTTCACGCCTATAAAATTGATTAAACAAACGTAAATTTTATTACATGTTCTTTATACACATATTTAGTAAGATAGCATAGGGAAACTAAATTGTATTTTGACATCAAGCATGTTTGAAAGAATAAGAAAGTTTGTAATTCTATATTTACGTAATGTAAGTACATAAAATTATTGTCTAACGAACTACATATAAAATGATTTACTACGTAAGCAATATGCAGTGCATGTACATAATATGTTTTATTCATGAGTATGATAATTTTATTGCAAATTTAAATTTCAGATATGCAATCCCCCATTTTGGAATAACAAAGCATGAATAGCATATTAAAATACATTCAGTTATGTTATTAATTTGAATTTATATTTACTTTAATATTGCCCCTAAAGCCATTCCCTGTGGCAAAGATGTTGGTAAATCTTTCAATGAATGTACTACAAAATCAACATTGCCATTTTCTAAGGCAAGTTCCAACTCTTCTGTAAAGAGAGACTTTTCTCCAATTTTGGGTAAAGATTTATCCAAGATTTTGTCTCCTTTGGTACTCATTTTAACTGTAAAATATGTGTAAAATATTAGAAAATGCATAATATGTAAAACCTATAAAATGTGTATAGATAAGAATTTATAAATGATGAAAATCTTATTACAAATTTCATACAAAAACAAAACATAATTTATACATTTAACTTACCTATTTGAAATTCTTTTGTTGGATGATATTCTTTTAAACAATCTATTACATATTGTGTTTGAATCAGAGCCAACTGAAATAATTAATAAGTACTTTAGATATAACATTTGAAATTTATATTTTTATCATACTCTATTATAAAAGTCAACATATTGGTAATTAATTAAAACAGTCGTCACTTATGTTAAATTGTATACAAATGAAAGGCACTATTAAAAAGTGCTGAGTAATGGAGCATTTAAAAACAAATGTCACTTCTAAAATTTTACATATCATCCATTACATCATTGATAAGTGATATTCAGTTTCCTATTTGTATCGTACGCACTTCGAATTTGAAATTAAATGGTTTCTTTCATATGTTTTTTTAACAATAATTGCGAAAGATGCTTATCTGATTGTTATCATTTTCACTTTTATCATTACATAAGTTTTTAAAAATGTGGTATTGAAAAACAATAAAGAACATGACAAAAATATATTTATTCCAAAAAAAGAAATTAAAGTTTGTACATTTACCTCACTTTTTCGAGATCCAACTCGAATTACGTCACGTGTATCTGTGCTCGTCATCACAGTAATTTAAATTTCTATACTTTGTATATATTGATTATAATATGATGTTATCAATGATAATTATATAACAGACTTATTTTATTGCGGAATGTGTTAAATGTAATTCTGTTTAAAGGACAAAAGGGACTGAATTAGGTCAAAGACACGAACAACTTTCACTACATATTATACACTTGCAAGTAACCTCCAGTATGTAATATGTACATACAAAAACTTTGACGAACACGTTATTAAAAAATATGTTAAATATTTTTTAATTTTATTGTGCGGAGCTTATTTCACAGTTACTGACACTGCAGCAGATCGTGAAAGTTGATTAATTAATAGAAAAAATACTACATCCTTATACACGCCATCTTTACACTACGAAACGGCACTGGAGAATGCGATCAGACTGAAAGCAACCGACTGGAATGAATGCTGATACCATTCTGATTATATCGCGTAACCGCGAACTTTAATGTTTTTTGAACGAGCAGGTATATAGAATGCTATATTCAGTACATACGGCGGTCTATTTGAACCTTGGGAGTCCTCAGATAATTAATACATAATACATTCATTGCAAATTTGGTAATTTGAGAATTTATAAATTTATGTACATATAATGACAGAGTCAATGAATAATTATCATGCTATTCTCGTGTAATTATTATGTATTCTTTATTTATAAATGTTAATATTTATTCTTGATATTTTAAAAATAAATACATAATCAGCTCACATATACTTAATAATAGTTATACTATTAGTAATAATCACACGCAATATAATTGCAATTAGATACACTGATTGAAGTTTAGTACCTATCAGTAAATAAGAAGCAAGCGTAGTAACTATAATATGATAACTTTGTATAGTTTCAGTACATATAAAATTACTTCATGTAGTGTTCACATGTATTTGGTTTGAATACATAAAATCCTTTATGAAAAAAAGATCGTATATAAAATATTTTGTACAAAGTAATCACATCTCATTATATGAATATTCGTTAAAATTATTTTTTATTATCATATTTATTGTAAAAGAAGTCACAATAAATAAAAATATATTGTAAAACGTTTGTTTTAAAATACTGATTAGCTCTTCTCATAACGTTGAAATAAATTAGAACGAAAATCATAATCGGCATTTTAAAAATTTTTTAAAAATATAACAATTAAGAAAGCGTTTCAAAAGAACTAAATATAAAATATAACAAATCACATCACATATATAATATTTTCGTGGTGTGTATTGCACATTATTAACAAAAGGAAATAAAATTTTAACAAATATACAAACAAGAACAAGTAGATGCGTATATAAATTTGTTTTTATGTACGTCCATAATTTAATTGCTGCAATAGTTCTTGATTAAAAATAAAGACTATTTGTGTATAGTGCTGAATATACAAATACAAAATATTTAAATGCTATCAATTTGTATGTACATGTACATACTTTCTTCAGAAATAAATTAATATTTTGGTGTTACAGTAGCATTAAAAATTATTAGGATAAAAAAGCAGAAAACTTAATTTACTACTCATATTTTTTGCGTTAAAGAAGCCTATTGTAATATACAACCACTGGCATTTTTTGGTTCTTTAGTGCTGTGATGAATTGCATCTTCCTTTACTGGAGGTAAATTTTGTTCTTTTTCATCCTTTGCCGAACTTAAACCTGATAATGTTTTATATATATCTAAGTTCCACACAGGATGATGTGATTGCATTTGAAAGTCAATAGGACTCACTAAACCAAAAGTGGCTTTGGTATCTAACACTGGAACTTCTCCTGGTATTTTATGATGATAACTTTAAAATAGGAATTACAGTTAAATTTTATTTGAAAATCTACCATAATTGTTTGCTTTCAAATATACATGTGTGTAGAATACTTACATTAAACCGTTTTCTCTGTTACATTTATCAAGAGTAAGTTTCACTATAGGTGCTAATCTTTTGAATACAGCATGTTCATCTGGTTTTACTTTAGGCGCTGGTCCATTTATTTTTCCATATTCTTGACATAATAATTTTGCCTTCTTTAAGCAAGCTTCACTTTCCTGTAAAGCTTTAATTGCTTCCCCACATTTATCCATAGCCAATAAATTTTCACCACAATAGTTATAAGCCTGTTAAATTTAAAGCCTTCTAAATTTTTATTCTTAATGAAAAGTAAGTTTAATTATTTCATATTCAACATTTATTACAGTGCTTCACTTACATAAGACTGGTAAAATGCTGCCTTAAATTCTAAATATTTAATCCACTGAGCTGTTACTTCTGGTTTAAATGAACGTAAAGTATTAGCAGCATCCAGAAATAATTTACTTGTTTCATTAGCCAAAGCTGATATTAAACTAGCATTGTGTTTTAGTTCCACTGCTCTTGCTACTGTCACTGTAATACATTGAAAATAAAAATTTCTATTCATGTGAAGAAATAAAAATATGTTATAAATTTAGACAATAAACCTTCTTGAGCTTCTGCTGTACATTGATTTACATATGCATTTATGATTCGTGGATCTAAATCACTTCCCAATGGTGGAGGATTTGCTAATTGAGGTAAAAATTCTGTTTGTACAAAAGTAAATATTCCTGCTGCTCTTCTTAGCATTGTATGTACATCTTTTGCTTCATTCATGCTTATGCTAAATTATATTGAGACTGAATTATACTTTTTGTTATATTTGTTTTATATGTTTAATTATCTAATTTAAAGATTTATTACACTTACTCATCTTTAGCAGCTAACATTGCAGCATGTTTCATAAACCATAGTCCTACATTCACACTCATATTAGCTGCTTCATAGACAGAATCTGCATTGGAACTACAATACAGAAATGATAGTTTATACTATATTCAATATTTATGTTGAATTATAATATATATATGAAATATATTACTAAGTATTTGTTCCCAATAATGTGTGTGTCCATTTATATACAAGAACATTTCTAAGTTTACTAGGATTAGGTCTACCAACATGTTGATCTTGTTCTGCTACTGAATTTATTTCCCATATAAATCCATATAATAAACTTAAGTAGCTGTGAAAAGCTGGTTCTATAGTATCGCTGGAGTTATTTGGATTTTTTATCACATCTAACAGTCGAATTCTTGATAGTTTTAGATCACTGAAAGATAAGAAAATTAGATAAATACAAATTAAAACATATCACTAATTGCAAGTATGACATAATTCTTTTATAGTTCAATAATTTTATTATATACTTTTGTTATCTTAGATAACGATACTTAAAATTATTAAAAGTACACAGAATTAAATGCGTTTTAATGTATTTTTAAATACAACTAACCTGCACAATTTTCTTGTAGCATCAGTAGGATTAGGTATTTTCAACTCAAATTTTTGATTTGTCGTTGCTTTTAATACATTACGGTGGAACCAATGTGCCATGTTAACAATTTTAATTAAACTGTTAGTATTAATATATAGTATCTGAGTACTTGAATGCAACTTGTTCTATTTGACAGATAAGGCACATCAAGGTAAAACAGATATCATAACATAATCATTGATAATCATATTTCGATCAACAAGAGATCATATACAATTTGCGCAACATGGCTAACTTCAGTAGGCTCCCCACCACTTCGTGTTGTCATACTATCATATATTTTTCATTCTGTCAGCCATATATACGGTGGCCAGTAATGTGTGAATGGGGAAAGGGTTATACTTGAATTGAATAGTGTATTTCTTATATAAGATATAAATCACTGGATATATTGTTTAGTATCATGATAGTAGGAAATGCGTAAACGTGTTGCTCTTGGTTACGAAGTATACTCTAACCAATCAGAGTTGACATGCGCAATAACGAATAAAAGTTTGTCATATGATGAGTATGATCTCACGTTGAATGAAGTATACACAATCATACTGTGCTCAATGAAAGATATTCCACTTTTTGAAGATAGAAGTAGATCGTATATTCTTTCGTACGTTTTGATTTCGCGTGTAAGGGCGTGACTGTGTGTTGATTGTTATATTTATTACGTTTTGAAAGGTAAAAATCAAGTAACTGGAAAAAATTACGAGTTTGTAAATAATCATTTTATGTTATTATTGATGCAACAATTATGTCGTAACAACTTCAATTCACTTGTAATTTAACCTATTCAGTTTTAACACAAGATACAAGATAAACAGAGTTTCTGTTTGAGTCACTTTTTTAGCTTAGTTTAGAAGCATTATAATTTGGTAAAAAAATTATTATTTTCGCTCTTGAACTCATAAAAATAAGATGTCTATAAAAAATAACAGTATTTTATCCAAGTATTTAAAGTATTATTGTTTCTTACAGATGGGTGAACCTTCAGGATTAACAAATAGTGAAGTGCGTGAACTTTGTAAAGAACCAGATCCTGCAACAAATGGTTATATTGTGGCGCATACAATGTATCGTATTAAAGATCCAAGAATCACGTTACCATTTTATACCGGAGTACTCGGTATGCGTTTATTACAGAAAATTGACTTTCCCGAAAAGAAACTTTCTTGGTATATTTTGGGATACGCATATCCTGAGGATATACCTACAGATAGAAGAGAAAGTATTGAATGGGCACTTCGTAGAGCTAGTATAGGACTTACTCAGTAGGTTTACAATTTAATGTACAATAAACAATTGTTTAATATTATTATAGATTAGTAGCATACAAACTGGAATATAAAAGGAAGAATGAATATTAACATTTCCTTACAGTACCTGGGGAACAGAAACTGATCCTGATACTAAGTTTCATAATGGAAATACAAATCCTCTAGGATTTGGTAATATATTTTAAGTATTACATAATAGAAATATATTAAATGTAATGGTAGAAGTAAATTATACTTTTTTAATGCACAGGCCATATTGGAATTGCAGTACCTGATATTGAAAAAGCATGTGAAAGATTTGAAAAATTAAATATTACATTTGTAAAAAAATATAGCAATACTAGGACAAAAGGATATGGTATGATTAAAGATCCAGATGATTACTGGATTGAAGTTTTTAATCCAAGGAGTATTGCAAACATAGTATTAAATCAGTAATGTTTGTTATATTGAATAATTTTTTTGAATACCCTCAATTTTTAGATTAGATTTGAAACAGTAAAAAGCTGTACCTTGCCTTTGCACCATTATTTTATATTTTTAGCAATTCTTTATCACTTTTACAATCAATTACTGTTGGGTATATGTACAAACCATATGCAATAAAGGTATTATAATAATAATAATAGATGTATAAATTTTAATAAACGAAACAATCAGATAAAATAGCATTGCCCACAGGTGTGTACTTTGTATATGTAAATGTATATCACTATACGTTTAAATTAAATTATATTTTGGTAAAATGAATAAATATGAGTTAATAAAAAGAATCTGTAAAATTTATGGTTCTGATTACAGCTTTGAAAATAAATTTAGGTTGATGAATACTTATTGCTGTCGCAGGTAAAAATAGAAGTAGGATGATTATTATTTATCATCCATGAAAATTATGTAAAAATTTGAAATTTTACCCGCGATATTTTTTACTGTACCACTCTAGTGGTCTAAAATTCCAATATTCTTTACATTGTCTATGGTTGAATAGAGTATAGCGTAATCGATAAAGTTGTAATAAAATAGTTGATAAGATAAATATTCGTCACAAAAATTGTACATAAACTCGAGTGTATATCTGATTTTGTCCATATCTGTTACCAGCCACAATAACATCTGCACTACGCATTACGCCTAATTTTGCGGAAGACATTTTCAGTTTACGATAAACTTTGTAACGCTTTTAAACCATCTTATTATTATGATTTTTATTAATTTATAAAATGAAGAATTATATATATTTTTACTATTAAAAGCGTTAATCTGCGGAAAAATCAGTCACACATGACAATTCAAAATGAAATTGTTTACATTTAATGCATTCCCAGATGGCACTGATCACCACATGTATTACAATTCCTCTCTGGCTATTTGTTATTCGAATGAAAAATACTCAGTTCTGATTACTTCTGACTTGATCGTAAATGTTCAATACCATCCGATAGTATAGTATATTATTTCTTCGAGATATTTACCGGTTTGCGCCGAGCCTTTTATAAAATAATATTTATACATAAAATTATTTTATTGAACTTGTAATTTAGATTCCAATAATTGTTAAGTATTCCATAACGTTCTAACGTAAAAACCAGAAAAATGTTTAAAAAGTACGTACGATATTGTATCGGTTAAATGAACATAACCTTTACTTAGTAATTTAATATTATTAATACTAACATTTTAACAGATTTGACGAGAAAGACAGTGTTTCTGGTATACAACAATTGAAATCATCAGTTCAAAAAGGAATTCGCTCAAAACTTTTAGAGCTTTATCCTTATTTGGAAAATTATGTGGATACTATAATTCCAAAGAAAGATGCTTTTCGAATTGTAAAATGGTAAGTTTAAATTTGAATTTGACTCATTAAATATTTTTGAATGAATGAATGAATATGTATTTATTTTTGCACATTAGTCATGATCATATAGAAATTATAGTAAATGCAGCAGGAGATCTTTTATTTTTTCGGCAACGTGAAGGACCTTGGATGCCGACTTTAAGATTATTACATAAATGTAAGCAATATTTTTTTTGTAAACTTTCTTCTACAAATAATTATATTTTGCTGTGTTAACATAATTTTAGATCCTTTTTTTTTGCCAATGGAACAAGTTGATAAAGGTGCTATTCGATTTGTTCTTAGTGGAGCAAACATAATGTGTCCAGGTTTAACATCTAAAGGTGCAAAGATGACTCCTGTAGAAAAGGGAACAGTTGTTGTATCCTTGATTAAAGTAATTTAAATTGCATTCAATTGTCAGTTTTAAAATATATTACTCCAATTAAAACCTTGACTCAAAATACAGGCTGTTATGGCCGAAGGCAAGCAACATGCTTTAGCTGTAGGTGTAACCACATTATCAACTGAAGATATGTAAGTATTTACTAAATATTAAAAATAGTTGCAAGATATTTTGTACATTATAATAATGTAATTTACAGAGCAAAAGTGAACAAAGGAGTAGGTATAGAAAATTGTCATTACTTAAATGATGGACTTTGGCAAATGAAATCTGTAAAATAAAAGACTGATGTATATTGTGTAAGGTTTAATATATAAAAGTCTTATTTGTTATATGAATGCATTTTTTGATGTTCTTATAAACATTGGGTACACTAAGATAATTCTAACTGAAGTATTACTGCCCAACAAAAAAGGAAAAATTAATTATTTGTCTTTATTATACAAACTGAATGAATATGACAATTTTATTTAAATGCATTAATGTTATTTAAATGTAATTTCATGATTTACATAAAATTAAAGAAATTCTATAAACGAATGTATGTAATTATAAAAGATAATTAACCAGATCCTGATTTAATATCCATTTGGCCTTCTTGATTTTCTGAAGAAATAGAACGTTCATTTTCACAATGTCCTGATGCTGGAGAATAAGATGAATTACTATTATCAGAAGTTGGTGCAGAAGCATTTCCTGAACCAGGTACACTATTATTTGAAGTATTATTTTCACCAACAGAATGAGGAGATTGTGGATGATAGTGAGGACTGTGTGGACTGTGAGGACCATGAGTATGAGGACGACCCATAGTGTGTGGGGAATATTGGGAATATGGTTGATGATAATACGGGTGCGCATATTGAGGATATGGCTGGTGATATGGTTGCTGCTGAGAGTAAGCATAAGATGGATGTGGTGGTCTTGGAGCTAGGGGAACATTTTGAGCTTGTTGAGTTGGTCCTGGTTGATATTGTTGACTGTAACCTTGAGATGGTGGAATCATTTGAGGAGTATGTGGATTAGAAACTGGCCCTTGAGGTGGAAGTACTTGTGTTGCCTGTGTTCCTTGTGATCCTGGATGAGGTGGCATCGAATGATTAGCTAAAATTCCTTGCTGGTGAGGATTATGTTGTATAGGAGGAGCTGGCGAAGAAACAGGCGGCATAGTTGATGCATTCGCGGTTACAGAAGCACTTGTATTAGCAGTTGCAGTAGTAGCAACTGCTGTCGTTGTAATAGCTTGCTGCGGTTGTACAGAAGGCGGTTGTGATTGAGTTGACTGTTGATGTTGTTGATGTGACTGAGGTGTTGATTGTTGATGTTGAGCTGGTAATGACTGTTGCTGCGGTTGTTGTGGTTGCGAAGGTGATTGTTGTTGCGCTGATGTTGGTGGTGGAGGTGGTGGAGGCGGTGGTGGTGGCGGAGGAGGTGGAGTTTGCTGTTGTTGCTGCTGCTGCTGCTGCTGTTGTTGCTGCTGCTGCTGTTGTTGTTGCTGCTGCTGCTGCTGTTGCTGCTGCTGCTGCTGTTGCTGCTGCTGCTGCTGTTGCTGCTGCTGCTGCTGTTGCTGCTGCTGCTGCTGTTGCTGCTGCTGCTGCTGTTGCTGCTGCTGCTGCTGTTGCTGCTGCTGCTGCTGTTGCTGCTGCTGCTGCTGTTGCTGCTGCTGCTGCTGTTGCTGCTGCTGCTGCTGTTGCTGCTGCTGCTGCTGTTGCTGCTGCTGCTGCTGTTGCTGCTGCTGCTGCTGTTGCTGCTGCTGCTGCTGTTGCTGCTGCTGCTGCTGTTGCTGCTGCTGCTGCTGTTGCTGCTGCTGCTGCTGTTGCTGCTGCTGCTGCTGTTGCTGCTGCTGCTGCTGTTGCTGCTGCTGCTGCTGTTGCTGCTGCTGCTG